ACAAAGCTTTTAAAGGGAGTGACGGGCAAAGTATGGTAGTTTAGCTGAGAATGTAGTATTGTGGCGACATTTTTTGGGATTCATTGGAGACATATAAAATGGTGTATAAAATCATCCATTTGGGTGGTTACGTTTTCAGAATAGATTTTTATTAATCATTAAATAACGACAACAAAAATCATAAAATGTTAAAAATATTCTACAATAAACTGATGGCATAAATAGATGCAGGTTGAGAAAATAAAAATCAACTGTTATCATCGGAAATAAGTAATGTTTTTTAGTTATTTGTTTCTGCAATGTCTCATTATTCACAAACGTTTTCTGTAGATTTCCTGAAGAAATTCAATTTACTAATGTAAAAGAAATAATTGATTCTAATATTGATTTATTGACAAATATGTTCCTAAACATCTAATTAGTTTAGTGTAGATTTTTTTTTTGCATTTTTCGTCGTCGTTATTAAATTTTTTTTTTTGATAAATCGATTCTCAAACGAAACCACCCAAAGTGATGATTTTGAACCTCGACTTTGCACTCAAACTCAATAATTATGCATCATTAACACGTTTTATTTATATGTCTCAAATTAATCCTAAAAAATTTCTCCACAATACTATTTTCTCAGTTCTACTACCATACATTGCCGGCCACTCCCTTTAAGGGAACCGTTGTGAATCGGACATTGGAGGGTCACTGAACAACACAAATTAAAAGCAACTAACATGCGCATATATTTGATGGGAAAAAGTGAATTCTTGATCCTAGGTTCCCACACCCCCTTATTTTACACTTTACAACCTACAGTCGAACCGTTAAACTCTGCCGGGGAAAATGGGGAAATCACGGCAAAATCCGGGAAATTATTTTTTTAAATGACGGAAATGTTAGAGCTGTGGCCGGGAACCCACAGTTCCTTTTCTAATTAATTTTACCAATTTTTGGCCCAATATGAAAACAAAATCTGAACCATATGGTGGATAATAGCACAAGGCTTCTAAAAATCAATTCTTAAGAACTGAAACCGTAGTATTTGATATTTAAAACATGCAAATTTTTGGTGCATTTATCATATTTAACTCTTTTAACCGTTAGCTTCTGATTTGCTTTACTTCCTTTCTAAACCTGAATAACATTTTTACCTCCCCCCTCTCTTCCTACTCATAAACAGGTATCATTCTTACCAATCTATCTAGCAACCCAACCATCCCTACCCATCTATCTATCTATCTACCACCCCAACCATCCCCCATCTACCTGTCTAATTATCTTCCGGTTTATGTGTAACAGAATTTCTCACCAGTACAGTCCCATATCTTCCGGTAAACCAGTATTAATTAATTGCTGCCTTCTTCTTCCTCCCTTNCATTTCTACTTATGGTGACACCCCCTCTTTTGCTTCATTTGTGAAACCTTATTATTTAATGCTGCTAGGATATTCTTTGCGAGTTTCTTGAATGTTCCTTGAATGTTCCTTGAATGTTCTTTGAATGTTTCTTGAATGTTTCTTCAATGTTCCTTCAATGTTCCTTCAATGTTCCTTCAATGTTCCTTCAATGTTCCTTCATTGTTCCTTCAATGTTCCTTCAATGTGCCATGAATGTTCCTTGAATGCTTCTTTTAATCTTGCCAATTTTAAAATTGCTGTAACTTTGTTATTGTTAGGAATTTTTCCAATCCAATTTGAGTAATCATAATATGAACGTTTTGTTTTTACAATGAAAATTCACTATTATACTACCAAAAATACGCAAATTTAGTTATTTTGTTTGAGCCATATTCCAATATGTTATTTTCTAAAGAAGCCAAGATTTGGATTGTTCAGAACTATTCTTCTGACAAAGGATTAACTCAGCTTCGCAAGGATTACATTGTTAACTTTACCAATCACTAACAAGAAGACTGTTCCTCTTGTGAAAGCCTTTAAGAGAGTATGTGTTGAGAACTTTGTCAAGAGAATCTCACGAGATACTCTGCTGAGGGTTGCTGATAATTTTTGTACCAGAGCCAAATTATGCATTCAAGAGGAAGGTGGCCATTTTGAGAATATCTGTTATAGAAAAAGAAGTGAACCAAGTGACAATTAAAAGGACACCCTGTATGTTCCTTGTATGTTTCTTGTATGTTGTTAGTATGTTCCTTGTATGATCCTTGTATGTTCCTTGTATGTTCCTTGTATGTTCCTTGTATGTTCCTTGTATGTTTACAGTTCCTTGCATGTTCCTAACAGTTCCTTGTTTGTTCCTTACAGTTCCTTGTTTGTTCCTTACAGTTCCTTGTATGTTCCTTACAGTTCCTAGCATGTTCCTTACAGTTCCTAGCATGTTCCTTACAGCTCCTTATATGTTCCTTACAGTTCCTTCTATGTTCCTTACAGTTCCTTGCATGTTCTTTACAATTCCTTGTTTGTTCCTTACAGTTCCTTGCATGTTCCTTACAGTTCCTAGCATGTTCCTTACAGTTCCTTGTGTGTTCCTTACAGTTCCTTGTATGATCCTTACAGTTCCTTGTATGTTCCTTACAGTTCCTAGCATGTTCCTTACAGTTCCTAGCATGTTCCTTACAGTTCCTTGTATGTTCCTTGTATGTTCCTTGTATGTTCCTTAAAGTTCCTTGTATGTTCTTTTCCTAATCCTAAACCAAACCAAATCAATTGTAAATCTGAAAGGGAACTCAAAGACTGCATAACTTATATAACTCAGAGACTTTGATATTCCTTTGATTTGCTCCGTTGTTCCTTATAACTAGATCATAGCACACTCCGAACCAAAATGGGCAAGCTCTAACACAAAAATCTAATTGTATTTTGCCAATTACACGTTTTAAACTTAAGCTAGAAACAAGCATATGTCCAGGGCTACAAAAAGGTATAAATCAGTTGGTGATGTAAAATCAAAGGCCAAGGTGCTGAGATTTTAAAGTCAAGACTGTCTAAACATTTAAGTTTCAGAGTTTTGTCTATATCTCAGTGAGCATGTTCAATATGTCCAACAAATTCTTTTGATATTTTTTAGACACTCCTAACAAAGCCTAAGCTGCTCTTGGTTATTCCATACAACATATTCATTGATTGAATGATTCGTGGTCCTAGTAGATTTACTAAATTTGCAGAAGCATACCTGGGTGTTCATGGAGACTAACGGAGGCATATTATGATCTGTCCAATCAACAGCTTGACTTTTTAAACGATTAACTTCGTTTAACAACATTTACTTAACTTAAACCACATTCAATTACTTATTCACTAGCTTTGCAAAATACTTTGTAATTAATCACCGTTCTATCTAAAATGTTGGCTCAAAAATAAGTTCAAGGGCCTATTTGGTATTGCCGTATAAACCATCAGCCTAATAGCGTACGATATTAATGGCTGATAAATAACAATTGACTCCGTTATACACTTTAAAAATCGTTGATATTTGTTCACAAATTCATAGTATTACGTACATGCATGTTACCCTGAGAGGAACTAAAACTGAACCGAATAATAAAAACGGTTATTCTCTCACTACTATATGTAGATAAAAGAGGAGTTCGAAAAAAGTTTTGACAGTTAACATTTTTTCTGATAGATACAATATTCCGATCTTAAAGCTGTCGGGGGGTAAAAAGAGGGATTAAAAATATCCTAAAAACTAAATATTTTAGAGAACACCCTAAACTAAAGCAGCTGTCTTCTTTCTGCATCTTGGTCCAACAGTTTAAAGCAGGGGGGGGGGGGGGGGGGGGGGGGGGGGATTTCAGAATCTAGGGAGATTCTAAACGGGAGAGGGATTTAAGGGACAGAAGAATTCAAAATAAGAATGTGATTTTGTGGGGAGGATTATTAAGGAGATTTCGGGATGAAAAATAGAAGTAAATAAGGAAGGATTATTAAATATGGGCTTATCATGATCTACAATATATATAGAATTTTTTAGCTAACCTCTACTCATGTCAAATTCACAACGCTGAAGAAAGGTTTAAGGAACCAACAAACAGGGAAAAACTAAGTCTGAATTGGGGATTCAAATGACAAAATAATAAATAATAAACAGGGTAGAAGCAGAAACTGTTCAGGTTTGAAATCAACAAGATTTAAAATTGAATTTAGTCTTCGGCTTTGAAACACTAAATGTTTCGCAATGAAAAAAACTATTTTTAGATGCAGGAAACTTTGAAAAAAAAATCCATAACATTAAAAAAAATCCGTAAAGGAAGGAATAAAAGATCGGGGAGTAATAACAACTTGGCAGAATTGTAGCCGAACTCAGATGTCGTCTTTAATTTGTTAATTTGAAAGTATGTCGTCTTAATAAAAATATTTGGATTTGATAAAATTTGTTCTTTTGCGAATAAATGTCAACTTTCCACAGCCTCCCCCTGTTAACAATTCAGAATTACTTCGATTCATATTGAAAATATTACAAAATGTAAATATTTTTTCTTCTTTTTATGGTTAACTTTTATAATCAGTTTTAAGTTTGTTTAGCTTTTAGGCTGATCAAACTCTAAAAATACGTGGCAGCCATTTTTGAGGTAAAATTATTTTTTTTTCTCCTTATGCGTGTTTTTGAGTTTTTACATTACGTTTACATGAATTTCCCAATTAAGTTCCAATAATGTTTTAAAACTTAAAAACCCAATTCACTTTTCGGAAGAATCCCATGGTTGTTTCACATTTACAAAATAGGCTTTTTATGAAAAATATGTCGTCGAATGGTAATGTTACATCGTCTATACGCAACATTCCCCATACTGAGCGTCTGGCCTACTAACTTTCCGACAAACTGCAATATCGGACCTACGCCAGCTGTTTATTTAAATGTATTATTTGAAGGTAGGTTAGGTTAAAACAATTTCTAGGACGAACGCTGCGGCTAGGACAGGATAAGAGTAGATAAATTCCTACCTTTGATAATGTTGAACGGTTCTACCCTGGAGTATTCCTTGGATTACGAGATATTTTTCACTAATTTCACATTCACTTAATTATCCCCCATTTTAGAATGGGGCTAAAATCTGAAAAATGAAGATTGATGATTTTCCGAAAATATAAAAAAAGAAATAAAAGTTACATACATTCACTTTTGGCTTGAAAACGAAGGAGCAGAGGGGACTATAGGGGATATTATGGATGGTGAAAAGAAACCAAATGAGCATAAGCGTTGAAAACCTTGAGAAAAGAATCACAATTTAAAGGAGGAAAATGTCACAAGAAAAATATTGGAGTAGTAAGAGGAATCTCCTTTAGAAGGAATTGGAAAAATAGGAGACTGTAAAGCTTCCTTTAGGAGCAGTAATGGTTGTTAGAGGTGGTCAAATCCTTCTTTTATGATTTAAAAAAAAATAGGAAGTTTGTAAAATCCTTACAGAGGAGTTAAAGAAGGTTGAAAAGGATGAAAACTCCTTCCCAAGGAGTTTTCTAATATCCGATAGTCTCGACCACTCCACAGGAGTCTACAGGGTTGTAGAAGAAGAAGTTGTTGTGCGGGGAGTCCTTGTTCGATATCGCCTAAAGAAACAATATATTAAATGAATATCCAATTCACAATGGTACCCTTCAAAATAAAGGAAAATAAAGGAGATATCTAAGTTTACATCAGTAACCTTTACAAAATCACATTTGTTAAGATCCTTGACAAAATTATAAAAAGAAGTGATGCTCCAGGGACAATTACAGCTTCTCAAAGTAAATAAATAAATCAAAATACAGACAATTTTTTCATCTATTTTTTGGAAAAAGTCACATTAGACGTTTTTCAAAATTCCCTTAACTGTTTTCAGACGAGCTCTCTAACAAAAATAATTCTATTTTTGATCAGCATAGGTTTTTTTCTATGTTCATTTTTTCCAATTTTTAAATCCCAACATTTTTAAAATGAATAATAATAAGCAAAATGAAAAAAGTTCAAAGATTTGAGTTTTAAATCAACATTTAAAAAAACATTCATTCACTATACATTTGTGCCTTTCTTATAACAATACCCATTCACCCCCTCCACTACAAGATAAATTCCTTCCCTCTCCTGTCACTAGAAGAGAGTCTTCCACCTCTTTCGTTACAAAATAACCCCCCCCCCTTTTCTCCCTCATTGTCAATAGACGTTTTTCTCGAAACCTTCCCTCTTATATCTCTCTAAGATGAATCAGCTGAATCTCAAGTTCTATCTCTGACCCTTGTTCACTAACTGAAAGAATAATGCATCAAGTGCAACATCTTCCTGGAACAAAACAAGTTTTTTTCCTTCATTATCGCCCCCCCCCCTCTTCTACTTCTAATCACCCCTGTTAGCTATCCCCCCCTCCACCACTAACACCAAATGTACTTTCTTTTTCTATTCCAATGAAATAAAAAACTCATAAGACCTCTCAGTAACAATCTTCTTGGCAGCCCTATTGACCCTTTCAAAACAGGATTGGTTTAAAATTCATGCAGGGGAATATAATTTCACTAAAAATGATTTCTACCCCCATCTTAAAAAACCATTTCCCCCTTACATGTTGGGGGAAATAAATAATTTTAAGGTAACAAAAATATATGAAGCAAAAGAAAAAACTTGTCAGTTGGAAGTTTATGAGCAATCCCTACCCCCCTACCCTACCCCCAATAAAAAATATATGGAAGGGGTGCGGTGTTAAATTTTCAGAATAAACACCCCTGTTTTGAGAGAGATAACATCTAGCAATATTCAGCTAAAATTGCATTCTCAAAATATGTAAACTGGAAATCTGTGCATTAGATTACAAATATTCACCACTGCTTAGTATCAAGTACAGTAACCTTTTGGAAACCTGAATTTACAAAAAAGTGCCCGAGGGTTTTGAGAAAACGTCAAATGAAAAATGCATATTGATGCAAAAATTCAAGAATTCAAATGCATAATTCCTGCAGTAAAGGAGGGTGGGAGGGGGGCTTAAACACCTCAGCCAGCTTCTCAATCATTAAAATAATCCTCCAAAAAAAAAACTTTTTCACAGACTCATCAATTTTGTTAAAGTGATCTGCTTGTTTACAAGCATCAGAAAGAAATTGCATACTTCCATGGAGAAAAAAAAATTTAAAATCAGAGTTTTAAGGCGGCTTACATCCAAAACACATTAAGGGGGAGTGTTAACAAATGTGCAGAGGTACAGTGAAAACCAAAATACTGTGCAATGCGTAGACAACATTTAGACAAAAGGTATAACTTCAAATAGTCCCATGAACAAGTAACATCGAAATTTTGAGGTGTACACATACCCATTTCACTTACTAGGTTATTTGATAAGTTACAAGTAAAACTATTTCTTTGTTACAACATCAATACAATAGATTATTGCTTTATTGTCATCTTCCCGTTCCACTGTTTTCTGATTCCCACTGTATTATAAACTATCATCAAATTACTGTTTTAATTTTTTTCCTACACGGTAATTGAATGCAGCCAGCCATAAAAATAATGCAACGAAATTGAGTTTTTAACTGGCTTATTAATCAAGAAGTAAGGACAGTAAATAATTAAAATAAGTTAAAACGTAAATGAAGAATTGAAAAATAGAAATGACAAATGAATGAATGAATGAAGATTGACGGAATGCATGAACACATAAATGAATAATAGAATATATTAAATGATTATTAAATAAATGAATGAATGAAAAAATAACAGTTAACAACTGAACAACTTGACAAAAATAAATATTTAGTATATGCTAATAAAATAAATTAATTAAAATACTATTGAATAAATATATAAATGAATAAATAAATAAATGGAAGAAAAACTAATGAAGGAAGGACAAAAAAAATGAGCTTAACAAGAATAAATATAAAAATATGAATAAATAAATGAATAAATTAGCAATTACATTAATCAAACGCTAAATAAAATGAATAAATGAAAAACTGAAGAAAAAAAATGAATCAATGAACCAATGAATCAATGAAAAATGAATCAATGAACCAATGAACCAATGAACCAATGAACCAATGAGTCAATGAGTCAATGAGTCAATGAGTCAATGAGTCAATGTGTCAATGAGTACTTGAATACCTGAATACCTGAATACCTGAATACCTGAATACCTGAATACCTGAATACCTGAATACCTGAATACATGAATACATGAATACAATACATGAATACATGAATACATGAATACATGAATAAATGAATTAATGAATAAATGAATAAATGAATAAATGAATAAATGAATAAATGAAAAGATGAATAAATGAATGAATAAATGAATGACCTTGATAACCTCCTGTGACAGCACTCCTCCTACAATGGCACAGACAGGACTCAGTTCAGAGAAGAGAAGAGAGAGAAGTTCATCAGAAACCTTGTCCACTGGTACACTCAGCTTCGTCTTGTAATAATCGATCAATCAATCAAACTACAGATCGATCATTCAATCAAACTACATATCGATCAATTTATCAAACTAATCCATTACTTAAATCAATTAAATCAATCAAACTATCAGTTAATCAATCAATCTGCCAGTTAATCAATCAAACTGTCAGTTGATCAAGTAAACTGTAAAAAAATAAAACTGCCGGTCCGGTCTTCATATTTCAAAATCAATTAATCACATTACCAATCGATCGATCAAACTACCAATTGATCAATCAATCAAACTGTCAGTCCATCAAAGATATTCAACTGAGCTCATCTTTTATCTATTTAAATCAGAAATGGGAGTCAAATAAGTCAGAGTTTCCAGCTTACAGTTTAATTGTAAACAAAACTTGTCCAGAAATAAAGTTATGAGAAGAAACCGTCTTGGTGCCTAGAGTCTTCACACAACAAATAAATAAGTATACCAGTTGAGTTAAAGTACGGTAAACTACCTAATTAATCAATACAGTTGATAGTAGACCTTTTTCTTCAAGAGTCTATCATTTTGAATTGTGCCAACGGATGCATTTATTCTAATGATGCTGCGACAACCGAGAAACTTTACTGTTTCGGGAAGGGTTCCCTGACCTCGTGAGTGTAGGTTTGATGCTGTAAATGTGACCGTGAAACCGTGTCCGATGCCTCAATCAATCATGTATGTGAAGATTGCGATACATAAGCTAAATAAAGCATTGGCGTTCAATGGTGGTAAAAATGAAAATACTGTTCTCAATTTAAAGGGTGACCCAGAGTAAAGAGAAGAAGTTGTAACCACGTCTAATAGTAGAGAACAGGTTTGCGCATCTCAACATTTCATCGAGTATGCCTGGTCGTACAATGGAGATGGCAGACGTTGCCTCTTGATGTGTCAAAATGTTTGATGCAGTTTTGAGCACACTGTGAGCAATGGATATTTTTTTTATTCCAGAGTTTTTATGCGAACTGTCCAGTTCTCCAGAAGATGTAAAGATAAATTTGTATTTTCGTCTTTATTTGTGTGATATATTTTATTATTACAATAAGACCAGTTTAAAGATTTATAAAATTTCGTCATACACATAAAATTACGATTTAATAGCACAGGTTCTTACCAGTGTTGAGTTTCTGACTTCCTGGAGTTTAGCATAATCCTGATCCCTAGTAGCAGGGCAGGGAGGGTGCCCTACTACATTCTGGAACTCAAACAATACCTAGATAGATAAATAGATGGAGGTGCATAAATAGATAGATATTTATAGATGTTCATCTTCGGTCGAGACTGAATAAAAATGGTTTAATAAACCGAAAATTTGGTTAACAGAGTTTTTGTTTCAACTAGAAATAAGAGTGTTAGATTTAGATGAATTAGATAGATTATATATTCAGTTACATAGGTGGATATATAGATATTCAGTTACATGGATGGATTTATTGTTGGAAATATACATAATAAAAAAGACAGATAGATGAATAGTGGATAGATAGATATTTAGTTACATGGATGGATTTATTGTTGGAAATATACATAATAAAACAGACAGATAGATGAATAGGTGGATATATAGATATTTAGTTACAAAGATGGATCTATTAGTTGATGATGACATATTCATAATAAAACAGACAGATAGATGAATAGGTGGATATATAGATATTTAGTTACAAAGATGGATCTATTAGTTGATGATGACATATACATAATTAGATAGACAGATAGAGGTGGATAGATAGATATTTAGTTACAAAGATGGATCTATTAGTTGATGATGAACATAATTAGGTACACATATAGAGGTGGATAGATAGATATTTAGATACATATTAGTTGATGATGACATATACATAATTAGATAGACAGATAGAGGTGGATAGATAGATATTTAGTTACAAAGATGGATCTATTAGTTGATGATGAAATATACATAATTAGATAGACAGAAAGAGGTGGATAGATAGATATTTAGATACATAGATGGATGGGATAATGATATAAACATAATTAGGTACACATATAGAGGTGGATAGATAGATATTTAGATACATAGATGGATGATAATGATATAAACATAATTAAATAGACAGATGAACAGTTGGATAGATAGATAATTAGTTAGATAGATGGATCTATTAGTTGATAATGACATATACATAATTAGATAGACAGATAGAGGTGGATAGATAGATATTTAGATACATAGATGGATGGGATAATGATATAAACATAATTAAATAGACAGATAGGTGGATAGATAAATAAATAAATAAATAAAAGATCAACCATCATTCCGTGGAAATCTATTAGTTGATAATGACATATACATAATTGATAGACTCGGAGAAGGTTCCTAGTAGTTAACAGTGTACATGGAGAAGGTTTATAGAAGATGGAAGGTTTACCTGGAGAAGGAAGAAGGAAGGATCCATTCTCTTAACACGTTTTGCATACAGCTCGGAGCTCCAGTCAACCTGTAATACAAACAACTTATTTTATACTATATTGTGTCAAACATAGTTCTGGTTCTTGTGTACATACATTTCACAATATTTCAAGTGAATCACAACCAGCGTACTTTATTAGGTTTAAATTTACAAGACGAATGTGTGCAAGCACAACATTCTAAAAATATAAAAAACTATCCCCAAAAAAGATATTTATAACACCTAAAGTTTGAGGATCATTTTTAATTCGTTTTTTGCCAATATTTTCTGTCAGCAGGGTCAAAATTTGACAAAGTTTAAGAGAAAAGCAAATGTTTAGAATACACTATTTTGTAAACAATTGTTATTCTTACGCTATTCAAATTTTGATCTTGAAAGAAAATGAAGACAAAAAAGAACCAACTTAATAAACATTACTTACTATAACTGTTTTTTGTTTACCTTAAGCGCCTCTGCCAGACTAACGAAGGTCATCGCCTTCTTGACACTCTTGGTGATGGTCTCCTCCAGCTTCTGCTTCTTCTGTCCAGGTTCATCACCACCCTCACTCTACACACACAAATCATCATTATTACAAATTAAAGGGACTGCACTTGTAATCTCAACTTTTGACACCTAAACTAGGTCTATGGTCCCTTTAAGTGATGTTCAGCAATGGGACGATGAATTATGATTTTATCCCAATGTTTGGCAAGTTTGAGACGGCCAAAAGTTTCGGCAAATATTACGAAATTCTTTTCTTTTAAATACATTCGCAATATACCTTGACACAAACATATCATTTTAAGTCTTAACATTTTTGAAGACTTGGTACAAGAATTTATCCAAAAGTTAGGAAAGGTTTACATCCAAAAAACTGGCAAAATATCACGAAATTCTAATCTATAAATTGAGAGTCCCTAGAAGTGAAGGAGGCAGTGAACTGAATAGAAATCATCATTGATGAAAATATTTAAGGATTGGTAAAGGTTCTTTTTTTTCTATTATCTTGCATTTGTTGCACATTGTAAAATGCATTGAAGGGAGTATTAACGAAAAGGGAAAAGGGGTCGAAATTTAGATTATTATTGAGATTAAAATTACTAAAAAAATTAGAGTTCTCTTTACATACATGTCGGATAGAAATAAAAATAGTGCCGATCGATTCTCTATTTGATCCATTCTACAACTTACAATAAAAATAGTGCCGATCGATTCTCTATTTGATCCATTCTACAACTTATTTAATTTTCAGATACTCTCACTTTAAGGTGTGAGGCTTTGTGCATTACAGATTTTAAAGAAACGCAAAAATTTCAAAAATGTTTTACAGTCGATTTTAAAATTCAGGATTTTATTTCAGCTTCCAACAAACAAATTAACCCTTTAAATAGGGCTATTATTTAATAACTCCCAAAAGGAATTTATTTTCTTGTAAAAAAAACATAACTCTTTTTCAAAGACTGGGAAAATTTGAAGGGAAACTTACAATTTTGGGAAGTGGTGTAACTAGGGGGGGGGGCGGATCATGTTTCGCCCCTCCCCCCTCAGCATATTTCGACCCCCTCTTGCCCCCCTTACTTGACTCCAGCATGACCAATATTATGGACCATCTTTTATCAAATTTTGTCAATTAAGAAAAAAAAACCAAAATTTTTCTTTGGGGCGATTCGCGCATCATTTCTAATAGAATTTCTATTTACTTAAAGAAAGTCAGTCAAACTTAATTTATCCTCTACAAACAAACCTGTATAGTATACACATATCTTGCTAACAAAAGCCTGTATGTATAACTACCTGAAAATTAAATAATATGACGATTCCAATGATTTAGACAAAGAAAGAAATAAGATTACAGTTTTATTTAATCATAGAATAAAAGGAAACGGGCATTAAATTTCCGTACAGTCGTCTTTGAACTCTCATCAATTGTGGGTAACCCAATATATAAATAAACGGTTATAACAAGCAAACGATTCAAATCAAATCAATCGATTAAGCTGTCTTGGTCATGGGCTTAGAATGGATAACCAGAGAAACCACCAAGAAATGTTTTCGATGGAACCCAACAGGTAGAGAAGCAAGGGCAGACAAAGAACAACATGGAGACGGAGTGTCGAAACTAAGCTAAAGAGATGGGACTAAACCAAACTCCTGGGACGGACATGAGGAGAAGCGGAGAATCTATCCAAGGATGGACCAGGATACAGGTTGCGTGTGGTCGTATTCAACAAAATGGAGAGACGCGGTTAAGTAAGCAACTGTATATAAATACTAACCTGGGATGGTTGAATGTTCTGAGTAACCTCTTCCTCTACATATTCATGCTCAACTAGATCCATGAAGGAGAACCCGTAGAAACCCATCACATCACCAGCATAGAACTTAATCTAGGAATACACAGTACACTAGTATTATGTCATTATGATCATTGTCGTTGCTATTGTCATAATCAATGTCATATCATAGTAGTCATCATAATTGTCATCATTACTGTCATCATCATCATAGTCGTCTTCATCATAGACATAGTCGTCATCATAATTGTCATTGTCATCATCAAAGCAGTCATTAAAATTGTCATCATTACTGTCATCATCATCATCATAGTCGTCTTCATCATAGACATAGTCGTCATCATAATTGTCATTGTCATCATTGTCATCATCATTGTCATCATCATTGTCATCATCATTTTCATCATCATTATAATCATTATAATGTTTTTCAAAATGGTCCAAAGCAGTCTGTATTAATGTGATTCTGTATCTAAAACTCTTCTCACCTTCTCTGCTCTACAAATACTGTTGATTCGAACCAACTCATCCTGAACAGTTTAAACTTTAATTTCTTTTTGTGGAAAACAAAATGCAGATCTTACTCGAGCGAGAAGAAGAAGGGTTGCTATAAAAATTTATTAACACAGCTAAATACATATACTTTGGTTGTCTGTATCTTTGTCTGTTCGTCTGTATCTAATTACGGCTGAACCGATCGGGCCCAAATTTTGTTTGAGACCTCACATGACCCCTGGCAAAGTATTTGAAAAAACAAAATTTCTAAATGCTGTCTGAAAATTATTCGATAATTGTAACATTATGAAAATCCACGAAAAAATATCATCAAATCTCCCAACTATTTTGTTGAGAATTTGCTCACAGATTGAGCTACAGTTAAAAGTTGAAATAGAAGATAGGCGGAAAGCGCCCTAAAAGCCTAGTATAAAATAATTATTCAGTATATACATAATTTACCCAGTAAGTTGTTTAAAAAGACATTTTTTCTCAATAAAAATTGTTAAATGTTTGAACATTACCATTTACCAACCTTAGGAGTGCAGTTTGCAATAACAATTGTTAACAGTTTAAAGATACCCAACCATAGGACAGGTTGCAATAACAATTGAAAACTGTTTAAAGATTACCAACCTTAGGACAGGTTGCCATAACAATTGTAAACTGTTCAAAGATTACCAACCTTAGGAGTGCATATTGCAATAACAATTGTGAACAGTTTAAACCACAGGACAGGTGGCAATAACAATTGTAAACTGTTTAAAGATGACCAACCTTAGGAGTGCAGGTTGCAATAACAATTGTAAACTGTTATAAGATTACCAACCTTAAGTGTGCAGGTTGCAATAACGTTTGAAAACTTTTTAAAGATTACAAACCTTAGGAGTGCAGGTTGCAATAACAATTGTTAACTGCTGAAAGATTACCAACCTTAGGAGTGCAGGTTGCAATAACAATTGTAAACTGTTTAAAGATTACCAACCTTTGGAGTGCAGGTTACAATAACAATTTTAAACTGTTTTAAGATTACCAACCTTAGGAGTGCAGGTTGCAATAACAATTGTAAACTGTTTAAAGATTACCAACCTTAAGAGTGCAGGTTACAATAACAATTTTAAACTGTTTTAAGATTACCAACCTTTGGAGTGCAGGTTGCAATAACAATTGTAAACTGTTTTAAGATTACCAACCTTAAGAGTGCAAGTTGCAATAACAATTGTAAACTGTTTAAAGATTACCAACCTTAGGAGTGCAAGTTGCAATAACAATTGTAAACTGTTTAAAGATTACCAACCTTAGGAGTGCAGGTTGCAATGACAATTGTAAACTGTTATAGGATTACCAACCTTAAGATTGCAGGTTGCAATAACGTTTGAAAACTGTTTAAAGATAACCAACCTTAGAAGTGCAGGTTGCAATAACAATTGTTAACTGCTGAAAGATTACCAACCTTAGGAGTGCAGGTTGCTATAACAATTGTAAACTGTTTAAAAAATTCTGCTTCCTTCTCCGTTGATGGGGATTTATCAGCTGTCACCTCAACCTTAATTAATAAAGAATATAAATATAATGATGTTTAATGATCTGGGGGAAAAAAAATTTGACTTGGAACAGTCAAATTTTTGTTATCCTCTTTAATACTTTACATCCAAAAATTGAATTTATTTACACCCAATTCAGGGAATACAACAAAATTTATGCGCTCCGCGCAAACTTACCCAACTTCCGGGGAAACCTTTTTTTTTTTTTCATAGTGATTGTTTTTTTCAAGAAAATATACACCCCCTGGCTAGCTGAGTCTTAGTAGGGAGTGCGTGGTCCGTAGTACATTTAATGAAAACTGAGCATCTTTTAATATGAAAACGGCCATGTAAAAATTTAAAATTTATTTTTGTTGATATTTACCATAGGGTTAAGCTGCTGCACCCGCTCCAAGGAGGCTTCAGCTCTATTGCTTCCGATCTAAAGAATATCTAATTATTTTTTAAAAATAAAACAATCAAATTCTGTAGATAGTTAGGTTAGGTTTGTTTGTGAGCAAGGATATGAATCCTATCTATCTATTATGACGCGTCTGTACCCCCTAAGGACTACAGAAACCCACCCCTCAGACAGATCCCTTTGTATACAAAAGTAAACAGACTGGACCGTAGAAATTGTTCTGTACTTGCAGGAAATTTTACGAAAAAAGATGAAAAAGATAAGCAGGCTGGTAGACCAGATTTTCTAAATAGAAACATAGTTGAACCGTGTAAACACACTTTTTAGCTTGTCTCATCGCTTAAGAGAAGTGGTTCAACTTAGTCCAAGCGGTTCAACTTAGCCCAAGTGGTTCAACTTAGCCCAAAACCGGCTTTCCTTAAATTTCATAAAACCGTTTCCATTCAATTTAATAAAACCGGGTTTCCACTTAATTTATTTAATAAAACCGGGCTTCCATTTAATTTAATAAAACAGGTTTTCCATTTAGTTTGATAAATCCGATTTTCATTCAATTTAATTAAACCGGGTTTCCATTTAATTTAATAAAACAGGTTTTCCATTTAATTGAAACCCGGTTTTCCATTTAGTTTAATAAAACCGGTTTTCCAATTTTTTAATTAAACCGGTTTTCCATTGAATAAAACTGGTTTTCCATTAAATAAAACTGGTTTTCCATTTTAAAAAACTGGCTGCCAACCTTATCCCTGGGAGCTAGGAACTGGCTGGTTGCGTCTTCCTCAGTAACATTGGCTGGATCCACCATCTTCAAGCTGTTAATACCAGACAGAACTAGATTCTTTGCTACCTAGAACAATAATATAAGTTAACAATGGTATTTGTTCATTGTTCGGCAAAAGTTAATTGTCAATCTGTTGGTTGCATTATCCATCAGACGCCTATTATCTATGGTTTGTCTTTTGTCCGTCGTTTTCTATCATCCATGGATTACCTTAATTTCTATGGTTTTTCATTTATATTTTGTAATTCCTTTTGTCTAAACATCGGCTTTGGTTTGTTCTTTAAGATTAGTTAATACAGCCAAGATAAATCTTCAAACCCTAAAAACCCTAAAAAACATATTTCTCACCTCGCATCCTAGTCCTCGCATACCGATGAGACAAACCTTGGCAGATCTTAGTCTCTTCTGTGCGTCTAATCCCCACAATCTGGGAGAAAATACGAAGTTTGGTCAAATCAAAACATAAAAATCCAATCCAATCCAATCCAATCGATAGTGTATAGTGATTGTATGTTCGGATCTTAAGGCTGTCAATTCGAAACAAATCAAATTATTTCAAATTAAGACATTGCTGTTGGGATTTGCTTTAGGGTAACAAAACATTTTCCTAAAAAGAAGATCATCTGGTTCAAATTGGTTTAGATATTTAATGAAAGTCTGGTTAAAATATGGCACATAGATTTTTTAACAAAAGTCGGGTTAAAATATGGCACATCGACAAGGAGTATAAATTATTTTGATTTGTGATTTTCGGCGATTTGTAAGGATTTAGCAAAAAAACTTTCCACTCCAGGCCGCCCATTACTTAAATACACTGAGGGAAAAAGAAAAAATTCTTTCTGAAGAGGATTAGGGGGGGCCTTTTACAAAGTGAATAAATACTAAAGTGGACCAAACTCATAGTTGGATGACGACATTTTATGTCCCAAGTATTTAGAAATATGTATATATATATATATATAAATTGGTCTGTATACGGAGTGTACAGTACAACAGAAACTGGACTCCCTTTGTTTACAATCACAGACTTAGAATTTGTATTTAACTTAAATATAAGCTAACGTAAATTAAGATTTCAGAAGTGAATTTTAGCCATTTTACTGCACAATAAATGATTTCAGACAACACAATAATGCCTGCAAGCATAATCTGTAAAACAAGGAATGCACAATTTGTGATACCGAAAAATGAAGATCTTCGAAATATATCTCTTGGTCTTCACTTTTGTATTTTGACAGATTTAAGAGTGGTTGAGAACTAGACATAGTTTTAAAGATATTAAGGGCTTACATTTCCTTTTCTTTTTGGGAGGGGGGAGGCCGACCCCCCCCCCCACTGATCCAGGAGGGGGATGCGCCACCATAGCCCCCCCTGAATACGCCTCTAGATGATAACATAGATCTGTTTTAAGAAATTTACAAACATATTTTAAAATGGAGGGAGATTTGAAACAAAACTAATCAGTTTTAAAGATAAATTCCTTTAGAATTAGAAGTGCCAGGCAAAATCAATGAATTGATTAAGCGACTAAATAGTATTTACATATGAACTACATAGAAACGTACAAAAAATTTTGATTTTAAATCGTGAAAATTTCGAAGTTCTATCTGAAGACGACATTTACATGAGTCTTTAGTCTATTTTTTCTAGTCTTTACTTTCCAAACGAAATCTTTTCATGAAATTATTTCCAAACCAAATTAAACCTTATGGCCCAACCTGTCGTCGTTCCCTTAGTCTGTTCCACTTTAGTATTTATTCACTTTGGGCCTTTTAGGCGTGTGTTCATTTATACTCACCATTGCTTAGGAAGCGGATCCGTTGGATCCGCAAGATTTTGGCTTCCTGGATCCGGATCAGCAAAAATATGCGAATCCACGGATCCGGATCCAAGGGGTAAAATATCAACCAAAAACTGCAAAAAAAAAAAATTTTCATACTCCTAAACTCAAATCTAAACTTTTGAAAAAAGAGATATCATAAAAATTTCCACATTTCTGAATGGTTCATCAAGTTAAAGGATAAAAATAAGCGAAAAAAAAACAAAAAATATGAAAATTATATTTTGTTAAAAAAATTCAGTAAATCTTAAAGAAATGACCTGGATCCGGATCCATTTTTTTCCAGTGCGGATCCAGGATCCGGATCCGGATCCGCATCAAAATCAAATGGATCCTAAGCACTGATACTCACCAAATTATTTTTCGGGGGGGGGGGGGGTGTAGGAAGAGGAAAAAAATATTCCTAATTGAGGTTTTTCAATTTCTAACCTGATCTGTCGATCATACAGCTGGGCCTCCTGCTCAGAGATCTGGATGTTCTCCTGTTCAACCATTTTCTCTGAAAAAACATAAAAATAAAATTTCTCAACACAATAGCAATATTAATGTCATAACAAATCACAGCCTTAGATCATCTATCACGTTATATTAGGATTAAATTGAGTATCAAACTAGATTCTATTGGGATTCAAGTGTGATTCAAGAAGGATTCAAGAAGGTTTCAAGAAGGTTTCAAGAAGGATTCAAGAGGGATTCAAGTGGGATTCGAGAAGGATTCAAGAGGAATGCAAGAGGGATTCAAGAGGGAATTAATTGGGATTCAAGTATTTAATTGGATTTCGGACGAGATATAATAAGGATAAGAATAGAATAATATAAATTGTCAATGGTTCAATACAATTATGTATTGTAGAAGAACTAAATCATATCTCTGAAAAAAACCTTATATCAGGATTATAATATCCTCACTTACGATTATTCTGTTAAAATGGGTTGCGCAAATCTTCGAGAGCAGCTTCATATATGGTATTGGCTGCAGTACACGACAGTTTGTTTACAAACAAGCAGTACAGTTTAACCTCCTCTCTACAGATATACCGACGTACACGGGCCTAAATTTTAATGATTTTTAGAACTTTTGCTCCCCGCCCCCCGGATCCTGATTCATAAAACTATACAGAAACATAAAGTCGGATCAAAGTTGTATCGAAAAATATAAATTAACATATAAAAAAAGTGTAGCTACAAAGCTTAGATGTTGGCTTAAAAATACAATTTTCAATAAAAATCAAAAACAAAATAAGTAAAATGTAGAAAAAATCTGTAAAACTCGATAATTTTTAAAGTTTGAATATAAAATTTGAGAAAAATCTTTTATTTCCTGAAGGAAGAATTGATTTCTCAACGACTGATGAACAAACTTCTCCATAGTTTTATCTAATATGAGATTTAGCTCAAATTAACCCTAATCTACTCCAGTAAAGGGAAAGCGGAGCGGGGGATATTGGCTAAGCTACATTTTGCCTAGTCACATTTTGCCTCGGAACATTTTGCCTAGTTCAGTTTTGACTCAGTAACTTTTGCCTAGTCACAATTTGCCTAGTTACATTTTGCCTTGTCACAATTTGCCTAGTCACAATTTGCCTAGTCACAATTTGCCTAGTCACAATTTGCCTAGTCACAATTTGCCAAGTCACAATTTGCCTCGTAACATTTTGCCTAGTTCAGTTTTGACTCGGTAACTTTTGCCCAGTTCAATTTTGCCTGGGGTAACATTTTGCCTACTGCTTTCTTTCAAACATATTTTGTCCAAAATTAATTATCTATTTTTTTAAAACCTGAACCAGTTAAATTTAAATGAATTCTATGTTGGTTAGCACGTTTAGCATTCCAAATACTATGACTCAAAACCTAAAAAATGATGAAAAATTTTGATTCTCATTTTCGGCAAAATTAGTGTGTATTTACTCTACAAAAGATTAATCATAGTTATGTATCAGATATATATATTTTAAAAATACAGTTTACATCATGGAGCAAGGGTTTGAATATGATTATGTTTCGGCATGGCATGGTATGGTAGGAAACTGAATAATTTTCAAAAAATTGAAGAATTTTTGATGACAAATTTGCGGATTTTTGTAAACTTTCTTTTTAAAAAATTATGAACTATGTAAAAAAAGTCACTCTTATGTTACCCTACGCAAGCAGTTACTTAGGAAAAATGTAGCTTAGCCGGGGATATTCAATATGACTTAACTCGTCAGTGCCCTTTTTGAAAAATAAAAAATAAATGTTATGCTTTTTTGAACTTTATAAATCCGCAAGTGGCCTTACAAAAACAGAATATAAACATTCTGATTAAAATTAAAAAATGTTGTCACGCATTGGTTTCTTGAAAAAAGTTGAAGGTTAATATTGTATTCAGTTAATAATCTGATAATTTCACGCATAAAAAGGAAACATATTTGAATTTTGTTTGTAACTTAATATTTGATAAAGATCTTGAGCACTAATCCCTGAGTTTTGTTTCCTATGCTTGGAATAAACAAGTTCCCCTTGATACTTTATCTTCTCTCGAAGACTGCAAGAGTCTTCAGCACTAACCGATAATATTAATATTCAATATAAAACAACAATAGAATAGCTTTGGGCAAATATTATTAGTATTTATAATATTTCCGATAATCTTTTTTCTCAAAAATATTTAGAAGTAATTTATTTTGCTTGATATAATCTATAGGGGAGAAATAAATTGGAAAGAAAAACGGAATTTTTTTATTATGATGTCAGGAAAGTTTTCCCCCCTTTTAGATACTTTTTTGCAAACATCATTTATCTACCTGAATTCAGCGAATTCCTAATATACTAGGAAAGAAATGAAAAAAAAATAATATTTTGACGTTGTCCTTAAAAATTCGGAGTTAATGGAATAATAAAATATACAATGAACTAAACTTGTAGATTTAAAATACGATAATAAATCAAAAGCGTGTATTTGCAACAGTAAAAACTCAAATTTCTTAATCTAATTTGAATATGTTCCTAAGGTTAAGAAGGACGGGTAGGTGCTCCAGGTTACTGGACAGTAGAAGACTTGCCCCAGTTCCATCCTGAACCTCAACACAAGAGGAACAACTAGATTAAAAAATAATTCTACATTAATTAATTATTTAATTGATCAATCAGTAGGACGGGTATGTTCTGTAGTTTACTGTATATTAGAAGACTTACTCCAGTTCCATCCTGAATTTCAACACAGACAGAGCAACTAAATCAATCAATCAAACCACAAATTAACCCATCAAAGTACCAACTCATAAAGATATCAATAACCAAATGACTCAATTACATCCTAAGCGGAGGTAGAACAACAAGATCAATAAATCACATCAAACACTCAATTCCATCATGAACACATCTAGCGCAACCAGTCAAATATTAATCAATCAGTCAACAAATCCTTTAAATGCAGTCTGTAAGGGAGAAATAGGATCGGGATATCAAAGTTTCAAGTTGGCTGTGTTAGTTTACCTGAGCTGAAAATTTTAGAATGGGATATCCTTAATCCCGATCGGTAAATTAATCTGGAGATTAATAACAAGAGGAGAACAAGTGTCATTTAATCTCGAGATTAAGAAAAAGAGTTGATCAAGCATTAATCCCGATATCCACCATTCAAAAGTTCCCAGCTCTGAACAGATTTGGGAACAGTTAAAGACAGAACATAACAATACTATTAAATCTGCCTTGTTTTACTAACAGAAGAAAAAAAGAAACATGTCCTACAGATTTATTATGTTAACCACTTATGTAACATAAAGAAATTAAATCTGCAAAAGAACCCAATGAGGACTCCTCAGACCGCCGCCACCTCTGTAAGGGTCCTTGGTGTAAACAATATTTTACTTTTAGAATCATTTGATATGAACAGAAGTCAAATGATGCAAATGCAACTCGACTTTCAGTTTAATTTACCTAAAGTTGAATGAATCAGGAGCATTGCAGCCCACGTAGCTGCAAACACCCTTCTCCACTCCACTTCCACAGGACCCGCATTCAACTCTAGAATAATCCTCATTTCATGACAGGATTCGGTGACAGTGGTGAATAATATACGATTATTTAGCTAATTTTAGGATGATAAGTAAACAAAAAATTTTTTTAAAAGGTTTGAAGTATTTCTTTTTACCAAAAGCTTTAAAAGTCTGGTCATACCAGTTCCCCACTGGGGCAATTATTTAGTATCTAAAATAAAAAGAAAACTGAAAAATCACACAACCTGATGTTGATCCTAAGAATATCCTCAATACTAATAATTATTTCTGAAATAATCTCTGTCCCCTCCAACAGTGCTTTTATACATCCCAATCTACGATCCCTGAAAAAGTTAGTTTTTGTCAGGGAGGAATATTTTTGCATTTCTATTTGTTTGTATCAAAAAACAAGGGAAGGTTTATGTCCAGTAGAAATACAAATGTTGACTTAAAATAATTTGATTTTTAACAACTTTGGAAATCCATTGACAAGATAAGATAAGAAAATATATTACAAAGCTTACATATAAAGAACTGACTGCTCTAAGTCTACATCTTCTACTCCCATGAATTCAAGATTCGAAAGCACACCTGTTACTAAAACAATAATGTAAAAAAGTAATGATTAAACAAAGTTCAAGATTTGGATGAAAAAACCTTTAAACATACCTAAATATATATTCTCCTTTTTAGAAACTACTTTCATAACATTAGAAAGTTTCCATAGTGTGCCTGGAACAAGGCCGACAGGAAGCTGGAAACCAGTTTTAATGTAAACATTGACTTTGTTTACATTTTGAACCAGTTGAAGGACGAGGGTTGGTGGAGAAGAATCATGAATAAGTGTTCTACTGCTTATCAAACCTAAACAAAACAATCCTCATTTACAATATATTGTAGAAAAAGAAAATGCTTTCAGATAGAGCCTCAATCAAATGTTAAAATAGAAGATGAGCGCGAAGCGCCCTAAACCCACTGCTTTGGATCCATTTAATTTTGATGCGGATCCGGATCCTGGATCCGCACTGGAAAAAAATTAATCCGGATACAGGTTATTTCTTTGCAATTTATGAGCTTTATTTGCTTATTTTTATGCTTATCTTGATGAACCATTAAGTAATCAGATAATTATCATATTCTCTCTTTTTTCAATAGTTCAGATTTGGGTTTTGAGATTTAACGGATCCGGATCCTAAACACTGCTTTAAAGCATCGAATATACAACGCAATTAGTGTTTTATGATTTACAATTGTTGAGAAAAAAAATTAAATTAAATTAAAAATAAAATAATTTATCTGTTGAGTCTATAAGATAATCTGTCTTGGCATTTCAAATCGAGATTCAAGATCTTTTTTAAATTTATTGACTACGTTAACCATTTTCAAATAAACAGGGGGGTTTATCTTCTAATATTTTGATTACCAACATTACCCTTACAGTGACTGTCCTTGTAATTTCAAGAGACTCTCCATTTAGAGGGGGATAACAGATTCACAACTCTTATTTTATCAATAATCTTGAAGATATCGTCGTTTTCTAGCTTCAAAAGTTACTATTTCGGACAATTTTCTCAGTTTTATTTTTCTGGAGTAAAAAATCCGCAAATCACTTTTAAAGAGAAATCACAATTAAAAAATAACTAATCATTTGAAAATAAATAGCAGGTCGCTTGAAATTACGTCTACAGTCCAATGGACATTAGGCAACTTTGTATCTACCTGAAATATTAATGATTTCTCCCTGAAAACAAGTGTGTAGTTGATCTATCTGCATCTCAGGATCTGGGTGTACAAGTTCAGGGGCAGATACGTTATATACAACATCCTGTAGATAACTTACATGTTCTGGTTGCAATCAAAAAACCAGGGCTGTTATCTTTTTTATTAAATCTTTCTTTAAAAATATTTTTTGCTGGTTTTGGGTTTTCTTTGTTGAATTAGGGAAAGAAATGGTTTTTAGGGAAAAATAAATAAATATACAAAAGTATCGTCTACAGATGAAGGTTACACACGGGTACCGTTGTGTATCAGACATGGTCATTTTTGCATGAAGGGTCCCTTAAACTTACACTTCCATTCCCTAAAATTATAAAAATAAGAACATGTGAATACCTGGTTAATCTCGTAAACCTGTTGACAGGAAAACTCCTCTGAGAGTTGAAGAACAACCTCGGATGTCAGGGATCCTGTCACCATCTAGAGTACAGTCGTCGTTAACATCAATACAATGAAGACGACTTTCAGTTTAAATTTTATTTATATCAAGCTTTTGAGCAGCATGAATACACATAAACATTAAAACAAAGAGAAAATGTCAAATCAAAAACTTCTCTTTAATTACTTGTGTACGTGTTATTCGAAGAAAGCTTGTTAACAATCAAAATTAAATAAAAAAGTTCGTTTACATTGCATTAAAATTATTGCCGACCACTGTACGTATGTTAGTCAAAATCAGTAAAAAACGGAAAAAAAGTCATCTTTAAATTGGAACTGTCGTTAAGGATTTTGTAATCTTCATTTCTTATTAAAAGACAACTTGAAAACGTTCATTCCGATTTTCACGACCCATTAAATAATACCTTAAATGGCTCATCGGATAGTATGGTCAGAACTCCATGGACCTGGCATCTCTTGTAGAACATCAAATTGGTCATTTTAACCAGAATCATCCCTTCCTCACTTGAAACTTGAAGCAGGAAGTAACTTCCTTTTCTCTGCTTAAATATCATGCTCTTACACAGGATCTTGAACTCAAGGGAGGAAGTGAGGGGGGAGGGAGGGGGAGACAAGACAGTGGCGGAGGTTAACTCTTTACAAAGATTAGCAATTTTGTCAGAGAAGTCAACAGCGTTGGCTAAGCGTTTTATGTTTTTGATGATCAGATAAGAGTTGGGTTGAGGATATTTCTCCGAACAGAGAATAGGACGGGTTACTTCAACCAGACACTGTTCTAGGTCCTCCTGGAGACTGGTGAGGGTTATCAAAACCTCGACTGTATCAACTCCATCACTGAGCAAGGTTTTATCAGCATTAGATCTGATAACTCCAAACAGCTGTATACAAAGTATTACATTTTTTACTATTCCATTATTCTTAACAGAAAAGTCTTTATTAAAAAATGCTAAGACTTAAATTCCTTAACATTTAAAAAAAATTTTAAATAATCGTCAACTTTTGAGTCCGGGTATAAACTTTATGCACATGCTTAAAGCTTATTGCTGGCTCTATTTATCTGATAAGTGAAAAAAAGATTTGTTAATGATTTGAAAGAAAAAAAAATGGAATGAATTTTTTCCTTGATATCTAGATTCTGGTCCAAATATTCTGTTCTGAAGCAGTTCTCTATTTCCTCCTTATTCTCCTTTTCCTCATTTTCTTCTTCTTCTCTATTCTTCAAATATTCAATCATCTCTTTCACTTCAACTACACTAATAAAACAAAAATATTACATTTTATATTAAGAGAAGGGAGAAGGGCTGTTTTTTATTTATTGAAAATATATTCCGACTTTCATGAAATAAGAAGAAAATCGTAAAAGATAATAGGTAAAAAAGCGTGCATTTTCCTATAAAATTCGATATTTATGTCTAAGGTTTATATCTATTTATGCTCTGGAAAAAAAATCAAAAATTGGAAATTAAAAGACAATTTTTTTTCTGTCGTTTTTTATCCAAAAGAATGCATTTATTTTCTTTACTCTTGGGGAGAAAATATGATTTTCAAAAAGGATAAGAATGAATATTCAAGAAAATTTACACTACTGAGAGTTGGTTACAGGAAAGGGAAAAACTCACCGATAAACTTTTGTTGTGTCCGTTAAGTTTTCGAAACCACAACTAGTACTGTGCAATAGAAATTCCTGAACATTGAAGCAATGAATGTTTTTTAGATAGGTTTCTTCTACACTGATCAGAGATTCAATTTATAAAATATTCACTTGAATTTTAATAAGCAGACACAAGAAACATACGAGAAAACCTTCTCTGAAATCGTTTATATTATAAATAACATAAAGAACCTATTAGAAATGAATAACATGATCATGAAAAATCGATGATTTTAGGCATTTGAAAAAGTATTAGTATAAATAATATATTTTTCAGTGCTTTCGTTACAAGTGCCAAAAAACCATGATTAAAATGCTTCAGAACTACCAAAAATCCAAGCGAAAAGACGTCCAAAAGGGGAGGTGATAAATACTTTCTTATTACCTTGAGAAGGGACCGTTTTGATAAAGCATCTTGGTGCTTAATGGTTTTAAAGAGCAACTTTTTTAGACTATACTTCCTCGCGTATATTTGTGAAAACTTAGTCTTCAGTCTTATTAAACAATCATCTGCTTTCAAGCACAATATTAATTAAACCAATAATATACCATCATTCCTGGGAAAACCAAGCATAGAGCTTGTTATGGCTTTTTTAGGTAATTTTAGGATTATCGAATATTTTAAATCAGATAAGTATACATGCAAAAGTAGCACCGGCTAACACCATTATTCATTGAGATATTAAAAACTGTCATTATGGCTTTTTAGGTAATTATAGAATTATCGAGTATTTTAACCAAAATTTATTATGGTTTTTTTTTTGTCTGAATTAAAGAAAGTATCATAAGGTGGATCTTTTATCTTGCCTCAAGTTAATAAAATAAAACGGTTAAAGTTAAATTTTTCGAAGATTGTAGAATTCCTTTCATAGTTTTCAAAGAGTTTGAAGAAATCCTCCAATGACAGTGAATACTCTGCGACCAGAGATAGAAGGGGATGAACAGATATTGCGTAGTTTCCGGTTGACAGCATCGAGGATTTATCTCCGATATTTGCTGGACCGGAGTCATCGTTTACAAATAGATAACTTCTTCCACACAAAACTAAATAAAAATTTAAAAAGGCTTTGCTAAAATGGGCGAACAAATATCATTTCGCTGTTTATTGGTTATAAAAATATAACAAATTATTTGTAATATTCTACTCAAATACTAAAACATACGAAGTAAAAACATATTTATTTCAAGTTAGTTTCGTAGAAAGTGTGCCAAAAAAAGGAAATAATTTTTATAATTTTACCTAAAGCCTTTCTCGCTCTGAACTTGACAATGTGGGAATTAAGAATTGACACTGAATCCCCAAGTTGTAAATCTAAAATTACAGGGTTAAAAAATTTCATATATCAGGAGAAAATATCATTGCCAATTCAAGGGTTTTTTGAAATCTCAAAACTGAGGCAAATGTTCTATATCAATGAGTTGATCATGAATTTATTTTTAACTGACTCCTTTTGTTTAAAAAAAGAATAGAAACTTTGATATAATATGGAATCATTACATTAAGTATTTAAAATGAATGCATAAGGCTTTTGAAGGCTGGGGGGGCTACATACCAAAGTTTAAGGTGTGAAGGATTGGAGAGAGAAATAAGAATATCTTCTTATCTATCATGTAAACAACAGAACTAGAATCATAGATTTTAGTTACAACACCTAAAATAAGATCTTCTAAATGATCTACTACATGAATTACTACATGAATTACTACATGAACTACTTGATGAACTACAACATGAACTACTACATGGGACTACAACATGAACTACTTGATGAACTACTACATGAACTACTACATGAACTACTATGTGAACTATTACATGAACTACTACATCTCCTACATGAACTACTACATGAACTACTACATGAACTACTACATGAACTACTACATGAACTACTACATGAACTACTACATGAACTACTACATGAACTACTACATGAATTACTACATGAACTACTACATAAGCAACTACATGAACTACTATATGAACTACTACATGAACAATTGCATAAACAACTACATGAATAATTACATGATCACCTACATAAACTAATACATAAACTAAAGTAAGAACTAATAGAAGAAATAGTATAAGAACTGCTACATGAAGCTTTAAATGAGCTACTTTATGAACAATTAGTTGAACTCCTGCATGCACGAACCACTACACAAACGAGTAAATACACTACCTTTGTACGAAACTAATCTCTCGGTTGAACTCCTGCATGCACGAACCACTACACAAACGAGTAAATACACTACCTTTGTACGAAACTAATCTCTCGGTTGAACTCCTGCATGCACGAACCACTACACAAACGAGTAAATACACTACCTTTGTACGAAACTAATCTCTCGGTTGAATTTGAAGGAAAATCTGACAGTTCTTGAATCCGCATAATTCTAGATTTCTTGCACAGTTGGAACAATGTGACAGGAACTTTGTCATTTTTGAAAAGTGTTATTTGTTTTAACTCAGTTATTTTTAAACCTAAATTTAAATGTCTCGGCTCAAAAGCATCGTAAAGTGTATTTTTAGAACATGGGATTAAGATATTGACATTTGCCCCGAGTTCATTTCTCAAAATAAGTATAAACAATCGATTTCCGTTTGAAATTTTAAAAATATGACTCCGTTCGATAAATAAGCCCTCCATCCTTTCTGAAATAAAAGGTATTGTTTATAAAAAATTACAGATGACTATAATTTGTTAGTGCAGTGCAGTGCCTGAATAAGCTTTAAAACTTTATAAAAATAATAGCCGCAAGGAAATGACATTTACCCGAGCTATTAGAACATTAATTTTTTTAATGAGTTAAGAAATATTTAATAATTATTACACTAGCAATAGTAAAAAACAAATGCTTATACTTCGCGCCTTTGTTGAAGAAAAAATTAAACAAATCAGAGACAAGGTTTGGTTTGGAACTTACCGGTTTGAATCAAATAAAAGACGACATTTAGTTAATTTCACCTGAAATAATGGCTTGAATTGTTCAACCAAGCCTAAATTGCCTGATAAGGATCAGTCACCCAACTGTTACCGCTATTTTATCTTTAGGGGAAAATATAAGAACATGATTTTGAAGTTTTAAAAAAATGAACTTGTCGGCCCGTTTCCATTATTGTCCATTTAAACCTTTAAAAATTGCGTAAAAAGGTGGATGGGGAAAGAAATATTAAGAAATTTAATTTTTCACTTTTCAGACATTTGCTTTAATTCACAGTGCAGGACGGTTTTTGTAAATTATATTGACTATATAGTTTTAGGGCGCGCCCATTGCTTTTATTTCAACTTTTGATTGCGGCTTTCTCTGTGAGCATCTTCTCTTTGTACAATTAAAAAAAAAGTTCGGCGAATTGAACAATATTTCATCTGAGCATCCAAAAACCTTCCATGGGGTCAGTAAGAAAGAATGTTGACCCAATCGATTCTGTCGTTTATCGGTTACAAACAGACATACAAGCAAAGTAAATATGGTAGGCGATTATAATAATACAACGGGGACGACTTTCGAATTCAATTTTGATTTAAATTAAGGTGTTAAACAGCATGGATACGAAAACAAAGTAGTCAAGAGAATTTATCAATTAAAAAAATTTCACATTCTTTTTTATTTTTAAACTTGTTATTCGAAAGGAGCTTGTTAACCATTAAAACTTTAATAAAAAGTCGTCTTCATTGTAGTGATATAATCGCCTACCAACCTTTAAACATTGTATCTGTTTTGTGACGAGAAAAAAATGAATATAGAAAAATCGGCGATTCTTTGTGTTTCATTTTGACGTATAAATAAAATGGTGAAAAGCTTATAATACAAGGCCACTTCGTCAGACAAGTATCTTAATCGTAGGATAAACCTACGATTAATAAATCGTAGGTTTATCCTACAGGGTGTCCCACGAAACATGACAATAGCAAGACGACTTGAAAGTCGTCTTTGGTATTTGAATTTATTTGTGACATTTAGTCTTCTATCTACTTTAACATGTATGATTCTTAAAACAATTATCACATAATTCTCCTAGCCCTGGCATTTCCAAAAAGTGGTCTGCGTTTTTTGTGCTTTCAATATTACTGGAGATATAAAGAGTTTGGTTCAGATTTCAATTTTGTTAAATAAAAGCAAAATTGTCGAAATCTGAACGAAATTCTTCATATCTCGGGCAATATTGAAAGCACAAAAAAGGCAGACCACATTTTGGAAATGGCAAAACAAGGGAAATTTTGTGATTATTATCTCTAGAAATTTACTTCTAAAATTAGGTTGACAATAAACGCAGCAAATTATATCAAAAATCAAGACGACATTCAAGTCGTCCTGCATACTGTCATGTTTCGTGGGACACCCTGTACGTTTTAGACTTGTCGCATGATTACGGAAGTACTGTTTCATCAGTCATAAATCCACCCTAAATAGAGGCTGGATTATCTATCCTAAATCTACCCTGAAACAGCCGATGCTTTCATTATTATTCCTTTAAATCCTACGATTATCTACCCTTTTTCATCCAAAATGTTGTTTATGCACATGCGCATTGGTTTCCACAAATTAGTTTGGCAAATCAAAGACGATCTTTGTTAACCTCAAATATTTTTTTTGCAAAATTTGAAAAATCATGTTTTTTTCCAAAAATCTGCCGAAAAATATTGTTTTTAAGCTAAAAAATAATATTTTCTAAAAAACACTTTTTAGAAATAAAATATCAATATTTTCGTAAAAATATATTTTTTTTATTTTTGAATTTTTTATAATAAATTTCATTTTTACAAAAAATGAACCTTTTTTCGATTTTATCATTTTTTAACATTTTTTATTATTTTTTTTTATTTTTTATTCTTCATCTTATATATTTCTTTCTATTTATGTTTTCATCTATCTATTTATTTATCTATCTATCTCTCTCTCTCTCTCATTTTGAGCCAAACCCAACTAATCGTACGATCTAGGGTAAATCCACCCGTGCGGGTGGATTTATTTATCCTGCTATTAAGACATCGCGGCATTAGCGTTAATGCCGCGATATACACCTCTAATGAAACAGTAGGGTAGGGTAGCCTTAAATCCACCTGGCAGGATTTATTAATCGTGCGATTTGGCTTCAACGAAGCAGCCTACAATCCCGACCTAATCAGCGAGGGGAGGAAGGCCAGCTAAAAAAAAATTCTAGTCCGAGCCACATTCTCCTCATTTTCTCGTCCGAGCCACCTCGACATACTCGTCCTTCCATTCTTACGTGTTTAAAGTTTCCAATTCTTGAAGATAAAACTATTTTTTTAATCTGGCCACACTAGGGCATACATTATGAGTAGACTTAAGTATTGCAATGATTATAGCATCAAGTTCATGGAATCTTTAAAGCCATGAGAATGATGTCAAACTTTGTTGAGGTAAAAGTAAAATCTCTTCTGCCACCGTAATGGCTAACCTTCGCGATACAAAATAAATAGCAAAATATTTGGCGTATCTCTGCATATCATTTTTCCCATGGAACCAACTGGAAAAATTCTATGGTTTTCACTTTAATTTAAAAAAGATTAAAGTTCTAAAAACTCCGAATTATTTGCGGCATATTCTACACCAGCAATATCTGAAAATGCGCGTAAAAATGTAAACAATTCTTAAAAAATTGTTTTACCTAGGAGGATTAGATACTTTAAAAATATAATATTGGAAGGACGAGGATTTCGGTGGTGGCTCGGACTAGAAATTGTTGAGGCTGGCCTTCCTCCCCTCCATCAGCTTCCCTCCCCTCTGAAAAACATAGTTTATTGATAACCTTGTAAACTGCAATATCAAACTTTTGTTTCCAAGTTTAATGAGATACTTATGAGGTTCACAAATACAATGTCCAAGAAGATAATCATTTTATTTAGGGTTGTATATTTTCTTGAAAAATCATAAACCTAGCAGCCCCCCCCCCCCCCACCACCAGCTTTTGAAAATGATATGTTAACGGCAAAGTAAATTTCTAAATTGGGGACAACTAATGATTTTTAGGGGGAAATATGAAAAAATCTAGCCTTTTTATGTACAACTTTTCATTTTTCCCCCAGATCTATCATCCCATTCCGGGGGGTAGGGGGGGGGGGGTAATACAATTAACGGACAGAATTCCAAGTTAACGACCTAATCATTCGAAAAGTTATTAACGAACACATTATAAATTTTCAATCTTTTCATTAACAAATTAAGGTGTTCAGCAAGACACGAGATTCGAAAGATGATTTGAACAAAGTCTTTAATCTTCGAGATAATTTCGAAGCTCGGTGGTTGACCTAATGTTAGGTTAATAGTTGAGGACATAAACGCTAATACAATAGTAGGTTTCTCATTAAACTGTTACCATAATAGGATGAAAAAAATTAGAAAAATTTACGTAAATCTAGTAGCTACTACTAAAGAGTGGCATACATGAAACAATTATAGAATTTAAAAAATGTGCTCTTCAATACATTGACTTAACATTAGTAGTAATTTGTACTCGCCTTAGAATCTGACTTAACATTAGTAGTAATTTGTACTCGCCTTAGAATCTCAAAATTATTAACAATGTTAAGAAACTTGTATTATTAAGTAATTTTAGTAGATTTTCATTGTCTAATGCCATCTTTTATAGTATGAGGCTGTTCGTTAGACCAAATATTAGAAAGCGAAGAACAAAGATAATTTGTATTTCTACAGTGATAACCTGAAAATTTTTAAATTAAAAGACGACTTTTAGAATTTAATAAAGTCTTTAAAAAGTCAAGTGAGCATGAGAAACAACAATTATGCAGTGAAAAAAAGACCCATTTCACTAAATTAGTATTATAACAAACGTTAAGTAAGACTATTTGCTTTGTAACATCAATTTCACTTAATTATTAAGTGTCTTATTATTACATTGCATTGTATGTTTATTAGGAAACCATGAACAAAAGCAGGAAAAGGATATTTAGTGTACGCTTCCAATGGACAACAATATTTTATTTTAAATACAAACTTTAATAAACAGAAAGAATAGTACAACATGTCTTACAGGATTATGCGCTAAGGATGAGAATTTAGAGACGAATGTACAGAATTAGTCTTTTTTCTTATATTCTTGTTTTTCTTTCACATTTAGCCTGTTTTATTTCTTTTTTTTATGTTATTTAAAAACAATAATTCGTCTAGGAAACTAAATTCGACCTCCAGATCGTAAAATTTAAAGAGTTGTGGCCTGTAAGTAGTGTCATTAATCGTTTGATCGTTTGTTTAAAAATAAAATAGACTTCAAAGATCTCAAAAACGATCGCTACGACACGTTTTTTTGCATCTTTTTGGGAAGTTTTATGCAAATTGCATCTGCTAGGATCAAAATTTGACAAAGTGTAAGAAGAAATGTTTAAAAAACTAAACATTTGTTTTTCTTTAACCAAGCTAAATTTTGACCCCGAAAGAAATGATACCGAAAAAAACGAGCCAAAAACGAATAACCTGAACTCACTTTATTAGTTGTGGGGGTCATTTAAGTCTCGTCCTTTGTAGGTAACTCGGTAAATTGTACAGTGTACACAAAATTATACTATTTGTTACATCAAAACACAATGATAAAGGTTATAAATGGTAAACCGGTTTTGACAGGATAAAAATGCGCAAAATTGTTTTTTAACATGGAGAATACTGGACTGATACATCAAGTTCAGGACGGTTCAGTACAACTAGTTTTGCTGCTAGGTGCGCCAATACAGCTAGTTATGCTGGTAGGTTGGCCTGTACAGCTAGTTCTGCTGCTAGGCGCGCAAGTATAGCTAGTTCTGCTGCAAGGTGGACCAGTACAGCTAGGTAGACGAGTAAAGCTAGTTTTGCTGCTGCTGCCCCTGCTCTGAGGGAGGAAGACGACCCTTCTGTTGAACGGGCAGGTACAGTTTAAATTCAGCAGGAAGCTCTTCTTCGGAGTATAATCTAAAAGCAAGGGGTGGTATGGCTTAATATTTTCTTGAAAATCATTTCTTCGTCCCCCCTTTAAAAAACGTTTTCGGCGACACTAATTTTTATTTAAATAACTGGATGTTAAGAAACTAACATTAAATTTTAATTTGTCGTTGGGATTTTAACATGTCAAATATTAAAATTTTCGTATTTTATTATAGTTTTAAGATGAATATTGGAATTAGTTAAAATTTGTTCAGCCCCCCCCCCAAAAAAAAAAATTAAACTATCATTTATCCATAATCAAGTTACTAAGCAACACTTTACCATCAATAAATCAATCAATAACCTAATCAATCGATAATCAATCTTTCCAATCAAAATAAGGTTTTCAAATATATCAATCAATCAATCAAATAATTTATCAAAAATCAATCCAGGGGTTTAAATATATCAGCATATCGATCTATCTATGAACCAACCAACAGATCAATAATTTATCAATAATTTATTAATAATTAATCAAATCAATCCATAGAGTTCAAATAAATCATTAAATTAATATGCATTGTTAAATTAATAAAATATTTATCAATCATGAAACTGTTAGGGCAATATCTGCTCTTCATTTAAAAATAAAAATACTTATTTAACTGAAAAATGACCTGAAAAAAATGTTTAAATTTCTTACATTTTTTCTTCCTTCTTCTAAAGGCTCCATTTCATAATGGAAACCTTTAAACTTTCAATTGTGGTCCTCTATAAAAGCGACTTGCGGTTTTGTGTAACAGGAGAGACAGAAGGAAATTGTCAGAAATAGACAATTTTTAGACAGAAAAAAAACGATATCTTCCTCATGAATGCTTAGATAAAAGCAAAAAGGGTAGTAGTGCGAATGGGGTCACTGGAAAATAGGTCTGTGGGGACCAGGTGAACATGTTTACCTTGTAAAATCTGCTAGATTAAACTGTATCTGGTTCCAGCCGTCATCCAGGCGCATAGGCATTGTGCAAATAAACGGTTTCACCCTTAAATTAAAATTTAAATGAGAAAAAACTTTTTTAATTCTTACTTTTGGCATCCACCTCTACCTCTCAGGACCAGGGGTGAGGGGAAAACAAACAGGGAACGAAATTATGTTATTTTAATTATATGAGCTTGAGAACTGAAACTGACCAAAATGTCTTTTTGAATAGAACATATTTTGACCTATATTCTTTAATAATAGATAACATTTATGTTTTTTTGAATAAAGAATTTACGTAAATTTTTGCCAAAACAAAGTTCTAAACTGATTCCCCAGGTAGTAGTTACTTAAAAGAAACCCCAGTTGATTATCAATACCTAGTAGTTGATTGGTAGTTAGATGCTCGAAATCTTCGTCGAACATTTTTATCATCAAGCACCTGAATAAAGCCAATATTATCTGTTATTACTGATCATCTAATGATTTGAAGGAAAAGTATCAAAAAGTTTATATACTGACTCCCATTTTACATTTTTAATTTTAATCAAAAAGCCTTGACTTACCTGAACTTCGAAAGTGAAATATTTTTTCATATTTTTGATTATCATGACAAGATAGGGCAGCTTAATTCCTGTCACAACCAACATTATTTTAAAAAGTTTATTAGAGTTAAATTCATCAACTTCTCTCACCCACACCTCAACTATAGGGATTGTAAGGTTAGCTTTCAGTGAGCATCCACGCAAATATAGCAGTGGACGATTTACAATGGTACCTAGACCCTTTAAACCTTAGTCTGATTAAATGTGTAAAGGATAAATTCATTTTAACGATTCGAAAAGTTTCTTCCTTTTTGTAATTTCTAATAAGCAAGAAATGCTCAAGTCACTTTTGCAGAGAAGCCATAAATTAAAATAAATAGTTAAAATTGACATAAACATGGATGTATAATTTATTCTTGATCAGACAGAGCTTTTAATGTCACTGTTGTATAAATAAAGAACCCTCACTATTTACGCTTCCAGTCCCGTAACTATATTAAAAAAGATAAGATCCTTCTACAAGTATAAAGGGAGGAGGGCTAAAGATTTCAGACTTCACCCCACAGTAAAAAGCTGAAAGCTTTAGTTTCTATATCGTTGAGAAAAGCTAAACTAGGCTAATGTTAGTTCCAAGACCTAATGTTTTCTTTGGGTCAGCTGGACAAGTTATATACGTCGTTGACACATTAGTTCCTACAATCTCAAGCACAAAACTCTAAAATAATAACAATGCTAACGATTAAAATTATATTATTATAATGATATAATGAGAATAGCAATAATAATAATACTAATACTCATACATATTGTCAGTAGTAATAACGATAAAAACAATTTCTTGTTTGAAGCTGTGCATTCTACAGATAAAGAACACGTTTAACCAATACGGATTAAATAAAAGTTATAACAATAATAATTATGTTATAAACATAATATGTTTAACTCATGAGATTGCTGTATTGCAATGATAATAAATTGTAAGTAATGAAAATGGCAACTTGTAATGTGCGATGAGCAAAGTTCCATATTTAATTATTGGATAGGAAATACTCAATTTTAAAAATAAAAAAAATATAACCAAATTACATTTAAACTGATAAGAAAGAAATTCTTAACCCATTAGTGACGAGACCATTAACTATTAGTGAAGTTGTTTTAGAAGGATCTTGTCCAAACAAAACTTGATCGTACTCATGAAAAAATGATATTCAATAAATTTTTTTTGTGTGCAGTGTGACCTGTAAAACATGAAAATCTAAAAAAATTTGGTAATTCATAATTATTTAATTATCTTCAAAACTTTACTTTTCATGGTTTAGTTATTTAGATCTTTAAAAGAAGATTCCAAAAAATTTATAGATTCAAAACTAAATTACAGGGTGTTCTTTCAAAATCTTGTTTTTTTGGGTTTATTAAAATTGAAAATTTAAAAATTTAGTTTAAGAAAAAAGGCACAAAATTGACCTTCTCGTCACTAATGGGTTAATTCCGGCTGCCTTCAACGACACTTTCTTACATGAGGTAATTCATGTCTCGTAGAAAATTTTGTAGAAAAAGTTTGCGCTATGTTAGAATTTTTTTACGTATTTTTTTTTTTTTGGGGGGGGGGATTTAAAAAATTGACATAACAAGGCAGGTATTTTTATTATTTTTCCTAAAACAATTTATTTTCTCTAATTCAGAGAATTAAACCATAAAAATACATACTTAACATCTGGGGGAAAAAAAGTTATAATAAGGAGGAGGGGGGATGATTTCTTGGAAAAATATACACCCCTTAGTTTGAGAATGTTTTGCGGCATTTTCCGCGAAAGGAAGGGCTCTTTACAGACGCTTTTTTTGTAGAACATCGTTTATGGAGCATTTTCATTTTTTCCCAAATCTAAAATTTAATTGGGAAAATTTGATATTTCATCTATGCCCTAACGTCGCCATATTTTTAAAAAATTTATCTATTTTCAAGGATCGGACACTTAAAAAAAATAATATTGAAAGGACGAGGATTTCGATATGGTTCGGACGAGAAAATGATGAGAATGTGGTTCGGACTAGAGATTGATGTGGTTAGCCTTCCTCCCCTCGTCTCATAGTAATTAGTAACCTGAATATCCTGATCTGTGATTCTCTTGATATGTCCGTTCCTCACTTTCTTATCCCAGATTTGGAGAGGTTTTGATCCTTAACATATTGTTTACATAAAAATCCATGAACCTAAACAGGAAAATCCGCGAAAAATTGTGTGTAAAAATTGTTTTAGGAAAATAGGAACGAAGCGCCCGTAAAAGCCTAGTACTTTAAAAATCGGACAGGAGGGGGGTCTGGCAGTGAATTCGACATCTAAACAAAGCTTTCTTTATCTAACCTACCTATCGGGAAAAGGTATAGCGAACCCCCGTCCCACATATTTTAATCTTTAGAGAAAATAAAAAGGGAAAAACGAATCTTAACTGTTCAGTTTAGGCCCTTATGGACATATTTTTTCTTTCGGTGTCATTTGGCTGAAGTCTATGAACAAGTTTTTAAAAACACGAATAAAGCAATGTCCCATCACAACATGTATTTAAAGCTATTATAACATCTTAGCATTACTTAATATTTCCTCACCACCCAAGGTTATAATGCAAAGAAAGTTAATTGCGATTGCGTATACTTTGCGTACATATTAAGAAACCATGGTTCTCTCTGGACGAAATTTGTAAAGAAGAAAAGATGCATCAGTGTTTGTTTAGAATCCGTGGAGGATGAAAGCATTAATAGATAATTTTGATATTTCACTAAATAGTTTCCTATGACCAGAATACATCATTGAAATTTTTTTTGAAAGATGAATCCATGTCATGGTCAGACTGCGATGTCCGTCTTCTGTTTACATTACCGCCCAGAGACAGTACACTGCAGTGTACAAAAGATGCGAACACCTCTGAAATAACTTTCATTGCATTATAACCTTACACTTACCGGGTCTGTCCTAGTGAACGATAATTTGGTACATGACGAAATTGGTAAATTAATATTTATTTATTATTTTTTAGGGTTAGGTTATGTTAAGACACTGTCTGGGCCGAGCGCTGCGGCTAGGACTGGCTAGGGGGCCGAGCGCTGCGGTCACATGGTCAATTATATCCATGTCTAACATAAAAGATCCATGTACAAAATTGATAGGAGGGGGGGGGGGTGGGGGGGGTCCAAAAATCGTTCTCTAGGAATATACCCACTTACCTATACTGTAAAGTATTGAAAGAAATCCACTTTGAAACGTGTTCTTAAACATTTTAGGCTTTCTGAATCTGAAAATAAGAAAAAATGAAGTTGTCAAATTTATATTCAAAATCTTCAGATGAATCAGTAAGAGTTATTCATTCTTCACGAGTATATATGCTAGGAATGCCAGCATCCAATCCAATTCCAAATACAATTTAAATCATCATGGTTTTTATCATACTTTGTTGTTACCGGAATTTACTTACAAATTTTGAATGTGTTGCGGCAATCTGAAATGCTTGCGCAGACTTCTGTATACCAAGATTATTAATCAACTAATCATAATTCTGCCTGCTTCCTTTTTTCTCCTTTCTTCTTTCTCCTTCTTTCTTCTCCACCCTCTTTCTTCTTCCTCTTTCTTCTTCCTTCTTCCTTCTCTTTCTACTTTCTTCTCTCTTAGTCTTCCTTCTTCTTCCTTCTTCCTTCTTTCTTATTCTTCCTTTCTCTTCCTTCTTCTTCCTTCTACTTCCTTCTTCTTCCTTTTTCTTCCTTCTTCTTCCTTCTTCTTGTTCCTTCTTCCTAATTCTTCTTACTTCTTCTTACTTCTTCTTCCTTCTTTATTTCTACTTTTTTCCTCCTCCTTAACTATCTCCTCCTTCCTCCCCTTCTTTCTTTTTCCTTCTTATTTTGTCCTTTTTCCTTCTTCTTCCCTCCTTCTTTCTGGTACATCCTCCCCCCTCTTCCTTCTTTTCTTTTCACTATTCCAATCTTCTACTAGGTATTAAGTTTGGAGAGAGGATATATAATCAACATTTGAATCCCCATGACTATGGACCTAAGATTGGAATGCGTTATAATTTGGTTGTAAATTCTACAAGAGAAGCAGTTGGGTAATGTTAAGAAGATTTGAAACATTAAAGATGCTGGCATGTAATAAAAGAAATCAATATAACCTGTTTGTGATAAATATTTGGAATTGTAACATTACTGATTGTCATGAATTATAGCTATGATTTAATACATTGTGTCATGAAGCTAAAACATTTTTAAAATCTAGGTTTCTATGAGCTGTTGCTTGAAGTTAAAGTGTGGACCCTTAAAATTGTGGAATATGAAGACGATTTTTAGATTTGAATTATGATTTTAAATAGTCCAATTATAATGAAAAACAGCAATTGTGGATTGTACATAAGCAAATTTTAAAAGTTGAACAATTTAGAATAACTATAAAAACCAAGAATTAAATTACAATTAATCAGACGACTTTACAATCTAATTTTACAATCATGATTGATGGAACGAAACCCACGAAATAGCCCTAGTCCTTCCCTTTCCAAAATGTGGTCTGCCTTTTTTGTGCGTTTAAAATTACAAGAGAATATGTAAAGTCGTCTGATTAACTGTCATTTAATTCTGGATCTTTCTGATTATGACTGTATTTAAAGACAATTATAGTATTTTAATAAACGAGCGATTTTTTAAACAGACTTTTGAAAAAACAATAGTTTTTTTTACTGAACGAACCATTTTATTGAACGAACGATTTCACTGAACGAACAAATTTTAAATACTAGGCTTTTAGGGCACTTCGAGACCATTTTTTATTTTAATTATGTAAAAATCTAACGAAAAAAGTTTGCTGATTTTATAACAAAAACTCATGGATTTTCAAAATTCAATGAACATAAAATTTTGTTGGAGGCTAGTTTTTGAAATTTTGATCAACCATGAACCTTCTTTATGGTCTTGAGAGGTCTTACATAAAATTTGGGCCCGATAGGTTAAGCCGTTTTGACGTTTATCGAATACAAACAGACAAGCTGACTTAAGCGCGCCCTAAAAGCCTTAGGGCGCTTCGCGCCCTTCTTCTATTTCAATTGTTGCATGCATTGCAAACCAAAAACAAACAAAAATTTCGCGGATTTTAGAAAAAAAATGTTGTGGATTTTCAAATGAAGATGTTAAAGATCCGTGAATATCACTCTCTTTTTAAGTTATAAAAAATCATTATCAAATATTAAAAATACACTGTTCACTACAGCAGGGATCTACCAGGGCTAGGGGGTGGGGAATACTATATTCCTCAATGATTATATTGCTGGTAACCATAGAAACATAGTAAACAATATTTGGGGGAATCAAGAACAAAATCCACTTGAAAAATTTCCCCAAACCTAAACTTACTATTTACAGGAACTCAAGTATTGATTTATAGCCTTTTCTAGTATTAATTGTAGCTTTGAATACGACCATTATTTCTCAAACATTTTATATAAAGTTTTGTGTATTATTTTTTTTGTGGAGACTTTTAAAATTTTAAAAATCAAAAATTGGTCTTATTTGGTAAGATTTAAAGTTTATACAGTGGTACCCATCAAAACTGTAGAATAGGAAGGCAACATTATACCAATTTGTGTACTAGTGTTTGCACTAATTTTCCAATTGTACCAACGTACATTTACACTAAAGTCACCTTATCAGAAACAGGTTTGTATTACGATTGAACATTATAGTGCAAATGAACACAAATCTAGCTTTACTGTGCTCAATTTGACTAAAATTTTATTTTCCCGCCAGGAATATTTAGTTCAAATGATCATTTGTGCAATTGATCTGGAATATTTAAAATATTTAACTTTTTTTTCTTTTTTTTTGTAATTATTAGTGCAAATGAACATTTCAAGCAAAAAATTTTTGTACAAACGGAATAATGTTTTTTTTCTGTAAATATTAGCGTAATTGGACATTAGTGCAAATAAACATTTCCTACAAAAAATTTGTTCAAACGGACTAATGTTTTTTTCTGTTAATATTAGTGCAATTCGACATATAGTGCAAATGAACATTTTCAACAAAAAAATTTGTTCAAACGGACTAATGTTTTTTTCTGTTAATATTAGTGCAATTCGACATATAGTGCAAATGAACATTTTCAACAAAAACTTTGTTCAGGCGGGGCAATGCTTTTTTTAAAAAATAATTATGATTTATTGGCAAAATGAATTGAACATTTTTTTGTTCATTTTCACTAAAGTATGTTCATTTTTACTTTAGGGTAAATGTGCAAAATGATGAAATTTTAGATTTTAGTTCGATTGAATTTTTTTTTGTTCATTTGTTCTAAAATAAGTTCAATTGCACTAATTTTAACTATGGGCGAAATGGTAAAATTTTAAATTTTAGTTCGATTGGTCATTTTTTTGTTCATTTGATTAAAATATGTTCATTTGTACTAATATAGTAAATGTGCAAAATGGTGAATTTTTAGATTTTAATTTGATTGGACATTTTTTGGTTCATTTGCACTAAAATATGTTCATTTGTACTAATTAGGCTAATTGTGCATAATGGTAAAATTTTAAAGTTTAGTTCGATTGAACTTTACTTTTTTTGTTCATTTGCACTAAAATATGTTCATTTGCACTAATTAGGGTATGTGCAAAATGGTAAAATTTTTAAGTTTAGTTCGATTGAACTTTTATTTGTTCATTTGCACTAAAATATATGTTCATTTATAATAACTTCGTTTTTACCCACACTTTAAGCTTTTGGACAATTGAACATTTTTTGTTCATTTCTACTAAAATATGTTCAATGGAGCTAATTAATTAAATGATTAAACAATTAAGTGTTCATTCGCACTATATTGCGAATGAACGTAAGTCCGAATGTTCATTATGTCCGATCAATCGAATTAGTGCAAACAATATTTTACCCTTGATGCAATAAAAAAAAATTAAATCAATTTTCCAGAAGCTTAAAATGTGTATTTGTATTACATTGCACAGTTGCTATTTTTTAATGATCATGTCCTATTTAAAGTCATAGCTTTAGACTAACAGTCGTCTTCTTACCTACAGGTTTAAGGGTCCTACTGTTTCTTCCTAGAATATAATTCATATGTTATATTTTTTTTTAAATAATTTTTTTATATCATCAATTACGTAGTTATAAGACTTAATTGAAAAGCCAATAATTTAACAAAGGTTTTTTAATTGGGTTTGCAATAAGTGCCTGAACATGATTAAACGCATGTCCAACGTTCATCGTGTATTGTCCAAAGAGTGTCTCAGAAAAATTATGAACATTCCCACTTCTAAATTATAAATAGAAATACTCCGTTAGATTAAAAGATATTCCAATTTTGTAAACTACCGATTTAATCTTTTCAAAATTGAGTTCTCTATAAGTTTGATTTTATTATATTATGCAAAAAGTCTACTCTTGCCAACGACATCAACCATATGATTTCTTTGGCAAGATTAACAATTTCTGAAAACAATGGGTAAAATCATTTTGATTAAATGTATTGAAAAATCGTTTTGGTCAATATCTTTGGTCAAAGTATTGGATTCGGAGCACGATCATTTGCTATCAACTCACTTTCTATCCACTCACTTGCAATCAAAATCAGTTGCTATCAGCCTCCAGTGCTATCCAAACATTTGCTATCAACTCACTTTCTATCCACTCACTTGCAATCAAAATCAGTTGCTATCAGCCTCCAGTGCTATCCAAACATTTGCTATCAAACTCATTTACTATCAACTTAGTTGTGATCACATTCATTTGCTATCAAGCCTCATTTGCTATCAAGCCTCATTTGCTATCCAGTCTCAACTTCTATCGACACATTTACTTTCAAGCCTCACTTGCTAACAGGCCAACTTCCTATCAATCCTCAGTTGCAATAAACAATTTTGCCATCAATCATCATTTGCCATAAGATTTTCAACTTGATCTTAATCCTTATTTTCAACAATTTTTTCCCAAAAATCCGCCAAAAAAATTGAAACATTTCTCAAAATTTTGAGTTCTTCATTCTCTGGCAAACTTTCGTGGGCACTGGGCATGGAGCCTATCTACTGTTAATTAAATGAATGAAATTATTAAGTTAGGCCAAATAAGAAAATATTATTGAAAAGGGCTATAATATTCTGCAAGCAAGAATAAAATTTTATGCACAAAAAATATACATTTTTTAAATATTTCTTATTTGAAATATTTTTAGGACACCCTTTTTCACAAAACTTGGAAAGCTAAATTATGAATAGAAAATTGTAATTTTGTTAATGATTTTAAGTGTCCAGAACTAGTGTGAATTTATAGTTAGTTTTAATTTAATAACATAATAAACATAATTTATATTTATAAACGTTTTTTTACATTTACTTAATAAATGTTTTAACTATATCACACATAATAATCGCAATAATATAAAAACAAAGAAACGAATTAGTTATTACTCGCCGGAATATCTAATTTCGTGATCCTCAATCTCTGCATTATAGATTTCGTAAATCTTGAATATTTCAAACTCAGAGTTCACTTTCTTTCGATACTTAAAGGGAGTGTTCGCGAAAAATGAAAGGGGGTATAGGCTTAATGCGATAAAAAAGCGCTTTTGATCGCTTCTAATCTTACTTCTATCTGTTGCGTCTATAAGGAGAAAATTGTTAAAAACGACTAATACCGAAGAACGTAGTGTCCATACAAATTCAGAAAGATGCAACATTTAACTCGGTTCGTAAACAAATCAATTTAATTCCAAACAAATCATTCAGATATTAAAAACAGTAGTCATCGATTATTTTTCGATCAATTCGTATATAGTTAATACTTCATAATATTTTTGATTTTTTTTCAATAATTTTCGCTGGCGCTGGATTTTCGAACATTACTGAAAAATATGAAAGTGTCGTCTTCATTTTCAAAAATCCTCGAAACAGGAATAAATGTTTTCAAAAGTAACTCTCAGATCATGAAAAATACAAAATATTATGAAATATTAACTATTTACGAATGCGTCGAAAAAATAATCGATGACGCTTGCTTGAAATATCTGAATGTTTTGTTTGGAATTCAATTGATTTGTTTACGATCCGAGTTGAATGTTGCATCTTTCTGAATTTGTATGGACACTACGTTCTTCGGTATTTGTCGTTTTTAACAATTTTCTCCTTATAGACGCAACAGATAGAAGTAAGATTAGTAGCGATCAAAAGCGCTTTTTTATCGCATTAAGCCTATACCCCCTTTCATTTTTCGCGAACACTCCCTTTAGTAATATAAAATCTTTGATCATATTCACTTGACTTTAGAGGCTTTACCAAAATAATTTGTGAGGGCATTAAGCTGAAATATGAAGAAAGAAGAAGATACCAAGCCTTTATTCTCTTTTAAACTGTTCACTACTGTCAAGGTAGAGTGAGAATCATGTAACTTTGAAAAAGAAAAACGAAATTAAAGCAATAGTGTATTTGATGTTATTTCAAAGCAAATAATTTTTCTAATAACTTCTTTAATCACTTATTCACTGAAATGGGTCTGTATGCACAGCACAATTGCTATGACTCATGTTCATTGGACTATTTAATGCCATAGCTTGAGTTTAAAATAAAACTTTGTGTGTTTTATATTACAGGGTTACCCACAGTATAAAGGATGAGACTTTAAGGATGACTTTACGGAATGAACACTGTCTGTTATGAGGTTTCCTCATATTAAAGGGACCGTTCACTTTAAAGATTCCCTGCAACTGTAAATTTGTTTCGTTCAATCAAAAAATAGGCCATGAAAGACTATATTCGTGGCGGAATACTTAATTTAGCCTTGGAATTGTCAAATTTAATGAATTGCAGGTCGTCTTTACAGTCTCATCTATTGTGGGTAACTCTGTATATACATAGTCTATGTGCAGGTTTCAGATTGGAGAACCAGTAGGATTTCATCATACTTTTATTTTTAAATATCATTCAAAGACCATTCCTAATACACAAGTCACATTTAGAATAATTTAACAGTTTACTGATTTTCGCTCCAACCATAAGTTAAAGTTTTAATGATTTACAACCTATTTACATTATTTACACCTAATTTCCTGGGAAGTTTTAAGTGTTTACTTCCCCAACGATTTCCAGGATCTAGAATCCCGAAAAAGCACATAGTTGTACACAATTTTTTTTCATTATTTTTTGAAAATTTGTAACTTTAAATCTAAAACTTAAAAATATTGAATAACAGAATCACAGAAACTTCGCAAAATTTAAATAAAAAAATTCGCCATTTTAGTTCTGGTCTAATTTTTAAGGAAAAGTTATTTAAATTCTCTAGTTCCTTTCTTCTTAGTATATTCTAAAGTACTAAACATACGATGTTCAGTTGCAACCTTAAGAACCATTGAAAAACAATTTTTACGTAAAAATTATACCAGATCTGAAAATTGCGAATTTTCTTATTACAATTTGGCAAATTTTCTGCGATTCTGTGATTCAATCTTTTTAAAATTTTAGATTTCTATACCTATAACACCGATTCCCTTTGGTCCCTGATCTCTGTCCTTATTGCAAAGACGACGGATTAAATCCCTTGTTCCCTGAGTACTTGTGAGGTCCTTCACAAAATTTGGACCCAATCGGTTCAGCTGTTTTGACGTTAATTGGATACAAAAAAAAACATACAAACAGACAAGCAAGTATATATTAAAATGATTATCTGTTAAAGATTGTTGTTGTTGGTCTAAGTATTGGGTTAACTGGTTGGAAGTCCTATAACGCCAGTTTAAAGTTTCTTGCTGTTCCTGAATCTATGCACGAGACACTTACATCCATACAAGGTAGGAACATGCTTGTCATTTTGGGCATCGTTTTTAGATATTTTCTACTCCATTACATGTATTAACTGTAAATTTTTCATAATTTCAATTTTGTCATAAATTTTTTTGGCCGAATGATTCTTAACTTTATGTATAGAACGATTTATTATTCAAAAAAAGCTTTGTTGAACTTAGACAAAAATGTTTGCAAAAATAATCTGTAAATGATTCTAGTGTAGTACTTAAAGCATGGTGTAGTATTTAGAATATAACAAGATACTAAAACCCCTTAAACCTTTGTCTGAATCTAAGCTGCAAGTAGAGAACCTGGAGAATAGGAGCAGTACGCTCCAGGATCTTATACAGGATAGACGTTAGAGCTGAGCTCCGTTCATCCCATTAAGGCCTGGGGACTTGTACTTCATGGACAGTTCTCAGGATGGTCTATTCTACCAGGACTACTAGAGGACTATGGAGGACGCCAGCCTCCTTCCCATCCTTCAACATGTATACACAACCTCAGAATCCTAAGCATCACTAAGGATATCAGAGGACGCTCTTTATTCTCCAGTTGGAGCTATAAACAGAGTTACTGGGGCCTTGGAGCAGCTGAGGTGTTTATAGCAGAAGCTCTATGTTCTTGAGTTAGTTCCAGTAATAATAACACTCGAGGTCAGAGCAACTAGGACTTCTAGGATATCCAGGACACATAGGAACTAGGACATGTAGAAGCTCCATCTTCTCTCAATGGACACACCCAAGATATGGAGCAGCCAGAATACCAATATAGACCAATGTCACCAGGTGTAGAAGAGATCTTGAGGATCTACGAGGACTGGATCTATCGTCCTCCAGACGTGACGGAGAAATCAAGAGATCTCACCATACTCATCTGTAGATCTCATTAAAAGATTCGACCATACTCATCTGTAGATCTCATCATGGGATTCATATTCTGTAGCTTTTATAACTGAACCAATTGATCTCGTACCAGCCTGTCTAAACTACCCACCGGAATATTCTGGATGCAGAGCAGAACTAAGATATTCAAGATATCAGATGCCGTCTAAACCTGATACTGGATCTTTTACAGACAGCTCTTTATGTATCGTGAGCAGCTAGAAGTTCCAGTCAGACTTAGGACTCCAGGAGCAGAAGCTAAACTTGATAAAGGTGAAATGCATGAATAGTACTTTTTGTAAATGTCGTCATTACAAGTTTATGTTAATTTCTAGTTTTTAAGGGAATCTTCCATTCCAACCAAATAAAGAAAATGAGATATTGATTCTTAAGGGACACTAAGCACCCTCAATTCTAGGTTCACACTAAAACTGCACAGACACACACTAAACACTCACACAAACATCTGTTCTTTCTATCTCATCCTTACAAAACAAGATAAGAATGAATTAGTGAAAAGTATATTTAGTTTAAGATCTAATGTAGGATTGCATGTTTATAATAGATTCCTCTTTACTCCTTCTTCCCTTCTTCTTTATACTAGATCTATCATTCCTCTTTCCTCCTATCTTTCATTCCTGATTTAATAGTTCTTCGGATCTTCATGATTCCTCCTTGTAGATATATATCCTTGTTGTCCTTTGTTTATCCTTTTTCTATTCAGACTCTTTTCTCGTGTAACTAAATATAAAATGTTATTAGTGTTGTGAACTGTTTATTTTGAGATAACATGTATTTTATTAAGATATTAAGTGAATAGTACTTTTAATTTATGTTTTGAGCCCTCCCTTTTTTATCTAAAAGAACTCAGAAACTATAGGGGTCAAAAAGGGTTCGTGAAAATACAAAAGTCTCATCTAGCAGTTCTAAGTATGACCCGGAGCTAAAGTACGATGTCTAGACTCGTACCGGGCTGGATAAAGAGAAAAGGACGGACGGAGCGTTGAAATCTTCAGTCTGACACAACCCATCGAATGAAATCACTCCTATCCTCTTTCATGCCTCTCCTTGCCAACAATTAGCTACTACCATCTATTAGAAGAATTTTAAACCCCCTAAAATTGAATAAATCTCACTATAAAACCATCCATCGTTCATTATTTTAACACCAAGTTTAAATCCAAGTAAAGTATCATTTTCCCTAAATTTGTCAGACTCCATGCTAAAGGGAGCAAGTCTTTAATGATACAAAGGAGACGATGCTCTTTACAGACAGCTCTCCACATATCCATTATAGAAGAACAATATAATCTTGATATAGAAGATGCTGCTCTTTACAGACAACTCTCCACATATCCATTATAGAAGAACAAGATGATCTTGATATAGGAGACGCTGCTCTTTACAGACAACTCTCCACATATCCATTATAGAAGAACAAGATGATCTTGATATAGGAGATGAACTCTCCACATATCCATTATAGAAGAACAAGATGATCTTGATGCATAAGATGCTGCTCTTTACAGACAGCTCTCCACATGCCCATCATAGAACAATGAGGATAGCAATAAGGATAACAATGATGATAACAATGATTAACAATGATGATAACAATTATGATAACAATGATAATAATAATGATGATAATAATGATAATGACGATGATAATAACAATGATGATAACATAGCAGAGACTCTAGGAGCAGCTCGAACTAAGAGTAAGGCTAACATAGAAGAGACTCTGGGAATAGCTCTGGGAGCAGCTCAGATTGTAAGAACGGCTAACATGATGAAGACTCAAAGAGCAGCTCTAGTAGTTAGAGTAGCAGCTGAAGACACAATCAGAGCACCCCAGGATAACGGAGACTCTGAAAGCAGCTGAACAAGATAGAGTAATAGAGGAAGCAGCTTAGGCAGATCCTGAACTGTAGCAGCTGAATATCTAAAGGAACTTTTGAAAACATGAATAACGTCACAGATGTATTTAATAAATAAACTATGAAACTGATCGATCCCAATTTATTTATAATCTGAGAGATATGTATAAAGAGGTAATTAAATGGATCGGTACTAGGGTTGTTAATCGTTTTTGTAAACGATTGTTTCGTTTTCGGAAAAAAACGATCGTTTTTAAAAACGACCCACTCGTTTTGAACTTTTAGAAAACGATCGTTTTTATTAAAACGATTTGCGACCGTTTTTTATACGATTGTTTTAAAAAAAACGATCGTTTTTGAAAAAATATTTTATTGACAATTATGTTAACGATCGTTAACGAAGGGTCGTCGTTAACGATCGTTAACGAAGGGTCGTCGTTAACGATCGGAGTTAAAACTCCTTGATATTTTCTTAAAAACTACTCAATGATAAGTACAGATGCCCTTCAGGTCGGTTTCCTCTCTTCGTTAACGAAGGGGTCGTCGTTAACGATCGTTAATGAAGGGTTGTCGTTAACGATCGTTAACGAAGGGTCGTCGTTAACGATCGTTAACGAAGGTTGTGGTTTACGATCGCTAACGAAGGGTCGTCGTTAACGATCTTTAACGAAGGTCCGTCGTTAAAGATCGTTAACGAAGGGTCGTCGTTAACGATCGTTAACGAAACAACGAATTTTATAAAAACGATCGTTTTGAAAAACGATCGTTTAAAAACGACCATTTTTAAAAAACGAACTTTTTTTAAAAAAACGATCGTTTTTAAAAACGAACGTTTCGTTTTCGATTTGTCGACGTCGTTTTCATAACGAAACGATCGTTTTTCTGAAAAATGAAAACGTTAACATCCCTAATCGGTACTAAAACGAGAACTCTAGAGAGAAATATTTGCATAAACCCTAAACCATGGGTGCAATTGATTGATCTGGCTTGTATTTGAAGACAATCATCATTATTACACTAGCTTGTTTGGAAAGACACTTAACAAAGGCTTAAAACATGGTGTCACATAACAAAATTAAGAAAACTGCAGTTTTATCGTAATCATAATAAAACTAGGGTTTGCAGAGTTTTATGAATTGTAACCTTTTTCGTTCCCAAAAATAGGTCGAACTTTTACCCATCAGAAATTCCAAATTCGTATCTAATGTGGTCCGACAGATTCTGCTGGTCTGCTGGTCTAATTCGTATCTAATGTGGTCCGACAGATTCTGCTGGTCTAAGAATTAATCAAAAAAAAACGAATAAAATTTATCCCATAATAGCTTCAAAAGTGTCAAAGCATATTTTAGTAAAATGAAATATTGTAAAAAATTACATATATATAGATTGCTGGTTTCCACGGATTACACACAAAGTTTCTAAATAAAACATAAAAGTACCAACCTCATTACACTTATCCATATCGCTTTATATTAAAAGTTTCTAAATCCTATATAAAAGTACCAACCTCATTACACTTATCCATATCGCTTTATATTAAAAGTTTCTAAATCACATATAAAAGTACCAACCTCATTAAACTTATCCATATCGCTTTATACTAAAAGTTTCTAAATCACATATAAAAGTACCAACCTCATTACACTTATCCCTATCGCTTTATATTAAAAGTTTCTAAATTCTATATAAAAGTACCAACCTCATTACACTTATCCATATCGCTTTATACTAAAAGTTTCTAAATCCTATATAAAAGTACCAACCTCATTACACTTATCCCTATCGCTTTATATTAAAAGTTTCTAAATCACATATAAAAGTACCAACCTCATTACACTTATTCTCTAGTTTCTAAATCCTATATAAAAGTACCAACCTCATTACACTTATTCTCTAAAAATAAAAGTTATAATTTTGCAAACAATATTTCCCCCTCATCCTTAATCTCTTCCAACACAAAAGTTTCCAACTCAAACACAAAAGTTTCCAACTCAAACACAAAAGTTTCCAACTCAAACACAAAAGTTTCCACCTGATTTGTTCAGAGGGTGCTCCTGATCTCCGTCTGTCTGTGTGCAGAAGATTCAAAGTCGGAGATTGCTCAGAGACAGGTTTGTTTCAACTGATAGAAGAAATCATTGTGAACACGGCCTGGGATCGACCGTATCAAATGAATTTGAGCCACGTTGGTGAACTACTTACTGCCGGTTTAAACTTTAATCACCGATTCAAATTAAAGATTAAGGAAAGATTTGCATTGGAGATTCAAATTTGAATCAATGGTAGACAGTTCGAATTCAATAAATTTGGTTCCCTGGTAAAACAGCCAGTTTGATTTAACGAAAACTTTGTTTGAATTTTAGAATTGAAAATATCGCTCGGCTAACTTAGCTTTCCTTTAATCATATTTCGTCCTTATTACTTCTGTTTGGTTAACTAAGTCCTCTTTTTGGACTTTCGGTAAACTGTTTGCCTTGCCTTGTGTCTATCAAAACAAAATATTTATAAAATTAAAATCAAGAAATTAATTAACTAGAATTGTCAAAGCTAAGGGTTTTTGAAACAGGTTAGGATAAAGTTTAAGATATTTTTAACACACTGTATCTTGAATACAGTTTCTTACAGATACAGATACAGATACAGATACAGATACAGATCTTAACCATAGAAGTATTTCTGCCAGAACTGAGAAAATAGTCCTTTTCCATAATCTCAATTTTTTATATTTCTCATGAACTTTAGAAAAGTTTGGGGTTGCATCTATGTTTGACTTCTACACCAGTGAGGTAAGTAGATCAGGGACGTACACAGGAATTTATCACAGGGTCCGGTTTAGTTTTTTTCTTTCCATGGGAGGTGAGGTGGGACTTGGGCCTGATCCCGCCCGCGGAGCCCTCGCCCCGTGTACGCCTCTTAATTTTAAATAAATAATGACTTGTATCAACTTTACATTTCAAATAAATCGATTGTTAATTACAAAGAAGAAAAAAACCAACACTCGAAATATAGCAAAGTAATTTTCACTCTTGATTTCAAATGAATGAAAAACGAATTTTCGTTTCAAAATAAGAATTATAGTGATCAAATCAATATTACTTTAAAAAATGATTTAAACTAAAATTCTATATACACAATAAGATTTATTAAAAAAAGTTTACTTTTTCTAAAAACTTATCGTCTCAATAACAATTCTCCCAGAAATTCTGCTTTTTAAAAAGTTGCTTTTAATGCTATATCAAATTAAAAAAATATATATTTACATATATCTTTTAAATCAACTTTGTAAAAAAATGGCTGTATATATAATAAAAATATTTGCTCTTTTAAAACTAACCAAATCAAAATATTTGGAGGATATTAGCTGTAATTGGATTGATGGGACTATACCTCCATATTCAACATATGATGTATCTTTCTTGGACATGCTGGATAGCTCCAATATCCCTTACAGGATAGATAGACTACTCCGAGGATTAGATGTTTTGAAATCTGATTCCAAGTGGGACCCAATCTTCGACACCAGTCCAAATATCAGCAAAGAATTTAGGTCATTTACACTGACACAGTCCCCAAAACATATTGGAATGATTAATTAACTTGAGCTAGGTAGCTGAGAAGATTGCCGCATTTACTTAACAATATTATTGTGCCATAAACATAAACAGAAAATATTGTTTGCAAGCAAATTCTCAAAGATTTTTTTGACGTCAAACTTTATATAAATCCCTAGGTATAGCAACAAGGCGTATTTTCCGGGAGAAATTTTTTTTATATTTTTGAGAAATTAAATAAATAGTGTAAAGTAGATATAATTTTCATAAAATCCTTTTTTTTAAATGGTAACACAGAATTTTATGAAATCATATTAGCATTACTAGAGAACTTTTTTTTTATATATTTTTGAGAATCTTTTTTTTGTAAGAATAAAACAGTACATATCATTTTCATAAAATAGTTTTTTTTCAATAGCAACACGCAATTTTTTGTAACCATATAATCATTCATTTATGTTGTCAGTACATAATAAATCTGGGGAGACCTTAGAGAGCAGTACATATGTACGTAATAATCCATTTAGTTGCATAGTGTACTGTCTATAGGGTATGTTAAAAAAAAGAAATAATTTACAAAAATATTAAAAAAAGTTCTCCCAGAAAATATGCCTTGTTGCTATACTCATTACTTAGCGATTTCTATATTTTGGATTTCTATAATATTTGACGCCGATTTTTTAAAATTAAAAGCTTTATAACTTTCACAAACCACTCAAGCATTTTTGGCCTAAATTTCTTGGTTTTTGCTGGTCATCTGGCTGTAAAGGCCAGATTAATTCAAGTTCAGCTGCTGTGAAATTAAATTGCACTTTTTGTGCAAAAATGTAACTAAGAAGACCCAGACATATCACAATTTATTTCAGAACAATCAAAATTTTTGTTTGATTTATTTTTCTATCCTAGGATGAATATGTTCCCTTATGTTAACAACTTCACATTTCTTTGTCACACTTGGACCAAAAATATTGCCAACTTATCAAGATTCAGACTTCATTCTTCATTTATACCAGGTTTTTTATTCTGAAATTAGAGTGATTCCTTATTTGCTTTGGAACTGCAGAAAATCATGTCATGACTGAAAACTAGGGTTTCCAACGAAAGCAAACTTTCGCGAAAAAACGGATTAGAAGTTTTATTACGTTATAACTATATATTGATAATTTCTCATTAATCCATGAATAAAGCTAGAGATGTTTGGTAAAAGGCTCATATTTTTACTCAACGAATGATTTTATTGAACGTACGTTTTTACTTAACAAATGATGTTACCGAACAATCTTCAGTCAACAAATAACCGAAAGAGATGAAAAATGTAAGATAAATTTTAGAACAAACCACATAAATTTATTTTTAAACGATTGATAAAAAACCAAATGGGTCGTTCATGAACGATGACCGAACAAAATAAATTTTTTGAATGATTGAAATAAAGCCGAAATGAGTCATGACGAACACTGAACGAACGAAATAAAAAAAGCCTAATGCAACCATCTCCACCTAACAATTACTTTTTCCTGAGTGCAGTTTTCACTCTGAATTTTCGTCATATCCCCCTTGCAATTTGAGCAATTATTTTCGCACATTTTTTCGTGCAATATTTGCACACCTTTATTCGCAATGTATGCGCAGAATTAGCGCATTTCCATTCCGCTGGAAACCCTACTCACAGTCCACCTGTCACAAAAATAATTGTTTCTTTAAACTAATCCTTAACAATTTATTCTTTTAGATGTGTATGTTTTTATTCACAATGATGGAGAACTTCTTCAGAGTTATTTACGCAATGATCTGGAAGAATTAGTTGCGTCAGAACATTATAATATGCATGTTCAGGTTTCAGTGGTCAACCTGGCTTCATCAAGGGCCTTAAAATGTTCTAAAAACGGTTCAAACTTTGACTCTTGTGTGTTCAAAGATACTTTAAAACAGTTTGGGACCAAGTGTATCCCTTTTTTCATGACAATTAATGAATTGGCAGGCAATTTTAGTGTGTGCAAAAATTTCCAAGAAAGTCAGGAAGCAATCCAAATTTTTCAGTCCAGTGGTAGATCATGCGAAAATCCTTGCACACAGGTAGAGATTGGCGCATTTTGTTTGTTCATCGTTCTTGAAGGACCTTTTTCGTTTTTTTTAATCATGAAAAATTTTTTGTTTTGTTCGTTCTCAAAATGATCGTTTTCTCACTGAACAATCGTTTGGTAAAATCGTTCGTTCAGTAAAATTGTTAAACAATATCTTTTTTACTTTGTTCGAAAAAAATTGCAAGTTCAGTAAAAAACGATAGTTTTTTTTCAAACGCTGTCGGAAAATTTGTTTGTTCAGTAAAAAACGCAACATCATTCATGAAAAATTTCATTCGTTGTCAGAAATTTGGTTCGTTCACAAAAACGAAGCCCATCTCTACACGCAGGTTCATGTTGATATTATCAAGACTCCAGTAGATAAACTTTATATGAAAGTTAACAGTCTACCGGTTAGAACAACAACGAGGGCTTACTACTTCACCATTCAACAAGAAGTCATTATTTCTCAGCTTCGCCAGAGTTATTCTTTTGTTTCGTTCATTGCTGATGTCGGAGGGTGGACAGGTCTTTTCCTAGGACTTTCAATAGTTAGCTTCATCAAAGTTCTCCTGGAGACCCTGAAACTTCCAAAACGGTTAAGTGCATTAACTCTCCGGATATCACTTTTGGTTGCTAGTGTTATGATAGGCATGATAACAATTTATTGTTGTTTAAAGTTAGTAGATAAAAAAACCGGTTCGAAAATAAACATTGAACCAAGAATCAACAACCTAAGTCTTTCTCTCTGCTCTCTGGAGAATGTTTACACTAATGAGGTGAATAAGCCTGGAGATATTTTAGAGAGATATATTGGTGATAATGCATCATTCTGGAATCAAAACACAAAGCTACAAAATAAGATTAGAAAAATGGAAATTTGGTTTAAAAATGGTGAACGAAAAACCATCTTTGATGCTGAAATCAATTTAACTACACACTTTTCAGACCAATCCATAAATATTCCGATTAAGGGAACTTTTATTGAAACTTGTCATACTCTAGACCTTCACTATAAAAATTCAATTGATCGAATAGAAGTTCGAGCTAGAAAAGAGCTGGTTTGCTATCTTCATATTACTGGACAGTTATTGCATTCTGACTCCAGACAGGGGTTTAGTATAATGAACCCGTCCTATGTTCAAATTGTAAACCTAAAGGATATAATATTATTCTCGTCATCTACCTTTTTCAAGATGAAAGTATTGAACTTAACTGATATTATCAATACTCCTTACTCTGATATATTCACATACGATAAATGTATCTTGTCTCTTGTCAGTGGTAAAGAAAATGTAAGCAATAGCATTCTTAATCCTAATGAAGGTACAACATATACATTCGGATTAGAACAGAATAAATTCAAAGGATTGGGACGACTTTTATCATCTCATGCGAGCACTGCTATATGCGAATTTCCCATAAATAGACTTAACATCAAGTATATCCAAGAACGTTCAAAGAAACGTACAGAAACTCAGAGAAATACTGACACATATCATAAGCCCTCCACAAGTAAGTTTTTGCTTTTAACTTTTTATTTCTTTATCAATAAAAAGATATACAAAATCGGAAGAAAAAACGTTTTATAAAAAAATCGCAGAAACATTCCTTTTTGCATTTCAAATTTAAAAAATATTATTTTCAGATTATAAAAATATTTCTCTTGACTTCAATCTTCATTTTCCTGATTTTGCAGTTGTTGATCAGGTAATGAACATACAGTCGTCGTCGTATATATCAATACAATGAAGATGACTTTCGTTTTCAATTTTGATTTCTACCAAGCTTTTAAACAGCATGGATACAAATAAACATGGAAACAAAGAGAAACTTTTATTATTTGTTTACTTATGAAGGAACTGAGTTTTTGCCATAAACTCAAATTTTCTAATTCCTATATCTTTGCAGCCTAATGATGTAAACCTTTATATTTCAAACTTAGTTGATCTAACAAATTCATAGTCAGTAATGTTAAAAGTCTACGACAAAGGGGTTGAACAATCACTGTTTATGGCAAAAACTCAGTTTCCTTTCATTTTTGAAAAAGCTTGTTAGAAATCAAAACTGAAATAGGAAAATTGTTCTCATCGTGTTGATATAAACGCCGACCACTATCTACTCCAAGGACTAAGGAACCTCAAGTTTTCCTGGGATTTTTGTTTAAAACAATTGTTTAGGTAAATACATCTCAAAAAAGATTTTGAGCATATTCAACATAAATAAATCAAAAATTGAACATATCAAATCAGAATTTTTTTTTAAATGAATCATTACATGAAACCCAGAAAAAAGACCAAATATAACAACCAAATATAACAACCAAATATAACAACGAAATATTGCAACTCAATATAACAACCAAATATAACAACCAAATATAACGACCAAATATAACAACCAAATATAACAACCAAATATTACAACCAAATATAACAACCAAATATAACAACCAAATATAGCAACCAAATATAACAACTAAATATAACAACCAAATTTAACAACCAAATACACCTGAAACACATGATCTGAACAATACAACATTCAAACAACGTATACCATGTTAAAACAAAACATAAACATTTAAACTTCTCATCAAAACCAATAAAAAATAGTAAATCCGACAGCTGTGGTATTTGAATAGGTCAAGTTGCAAATATGAGTAAACAAGAAGTACTTAAAAGGCTGCAAACGTATTTTCATGTGACCCTCCATTAAGATATGACAATGCCCGATAAACAACGGTACCCTTAAAAACTTTGTCAAATCCAGAATGATATCAATGAATAAAAATTTTGATCACGGACTAGAGTATTTCTCCTTTAGTAAAGCATATAGGAATTTTCATCCTGGAATTAACATTTTCAACGTAGAAAAACGACAATATCTTCCACATTACTGATCAGATAAAGCTTTCAAGCGAACTTGTGAATCGGGCATTGTCATCTTTGTATGGAGGGTCATATGATATTATGCTTACAGTCCCTTTAAAATGAAAATTAAATTATAAAATATTGTAACACCATTATGAAATTTTTTTGTGTAGGTTTACTTCTCGTATGATGTTGTTGCATTTATATCAGAAGTTGGAGGATGGGTTGGAATAGTATTAGGTTATAGGTAAATAATTCAAGAGATTGTCAATGCTTTAAACTAAGAGAATAGAATATATGGTAGAGTGGAATTTAGAAAATCCCTTGGTATCAATTTTATTAGTCCCTTTCAGCCTGAAAGGAAGTTCAAAGTGTACAAATCATGTAAATGCTCACAAATTATATGCAGTAGAGTACAATAATATAGTATGTTCCCTAGACTATCCATTTCAATTTAAAAATTTTTAAGGCTATTAAAGAAACTTTATAAAATGAATTAGGTGAATAAAAACATCATTTGATTTATAGTTTTAACGAAAAATCATCGTTTGTAAAGTGAAAGGCATAGAGTCTATGTGAAATGATCATTGGTCAATTATAAAACCAGCCTATTTCATAATTTGATTTTCTTTTAATATTAATTTTAGATTTTCTATAAAATAATGTTCCAGGGCCCAAAAGGTTATATAACACAAATATGTGAAGTACACCTGCAGTATGGAAACAGTACAACAAAATGGCCGTTTTACACTTTTTTCTAGTAAATTCCACTCTAATATATATTCTATTCTCTTTGGCTGTAAACGTAATTTCAAGTGCAAACCCTTGAAACCTTCATATGTTCAATAATATGCAAGATAATGTCGTTTTTTTAGGTTTAAGTTAATTTTGAAAGATTCCTGTATATTTTCCTGCGCAAGTAACTTTTGTAGAACAATTGAATTTTTTTTTGTTAATTGTAAACATTGCATAAATATATAATTTCTACTCAATCAAAAAAAGCTCTAAAGGTTACCGTTGTGAATTTGCATTGTCATTTTTGCATGGAAGGTTACTTGAAATTACGCTGACATTTCTCTTTATTTGATAAAAAACATAACATATGTAAGCATCAGCAAACAGTTTCGTTTGGAATTTTGGAAGATTTTGAAAATTACAGAAGGTCCATTTGAAATTGCATTTTCTAAAAGTTTGCTTTACAAAAAATAAATACATTTTGCAATTCATAAGACTTCGTTAAGTTTTATGAATCCTTTAAAAGGCCTAAAATCCTAAAATGTCTGAAAGGACTGAGAGAAAATTAGATGTAATTAAACTGTTGAGAAAGCCGAAAAAGGAATATTAGGAACACAATGGCGTAGATATAAATAAAAATAGGGATTTTCACATCAATTTAAAATGCAATTCTTAGACAAATGTTTCTAAGGCCCGTTGGGAAGTCGTTTCATGTATGCTATAAAATGAAGCTAAGATCACTTAAAATTACGATGACAACCCATTTTAAGTTACAAATGACATTTTATATGATTATTATTATAAAAATAAACCTTTTAGCTTGCTCCATCTTGGAAAACATATCAAAAGCATGATACAACGCTGGAGTGTGAAGTTATCAAGACAAGTATATTTCTTGATATTGATGGGTCTAACAGTATTAATGTCAGTTCAAATCATTGTATCCGTTAGTAAAGTTAATTCTAAACCAAAAGGAACCTCCATAGAATTTCAAGAGTTTAGATCATCAGTCAATCTATCTTTAACAGCCTGCAAGCTTGATGTGGATCTTGGAGAAACTGATCCCGGGGTTCGGCCATTGGTGAAGATAATTCATTCGTTGAACAAGTCTGAATACATTGATGAATATGATTCAGATGCTTTTAGATCAAACCTGACATACTTTTACTGGTTTAACAATGGTTTAATGCATATTTGCAATACCATTAGTTTAAATTTAGCTGATGAAATAAGAATAGTTCACTCCTATGGGAGGCATTTTTACGATGAAAACATGATACTCTACATCCATGAAACTGGATTGTTTGGATCTGGTTATGAGTTCAAGGTTAACAATGACTATTATTGGGGGAATACTATTACTCTACTAGATGTACAGCAGATTATAAACCTACCAGATATAAATACTTGTCAGCTAAATTCATCCTTCGATATATGCAAACAGAGATATGTTTCTAATAAATACAGGACAAGGACAGGATGCAATCTTAAGCTAGAAAGGTAAACTGTATTTATTTTATTTAATAACATTTTATTCTACAATAAAAAATATTCCGACTGATGTGGGGGTGGGGGGGTCCAAAATCACTATAACTCTCAGAAAATACCAAAGCTTTATTTTGTCATAATTCTTGAACAGTAAAAGGAACTGAGTATCTCTCCTCATCTCAATTTTTTGTTTCAATCTGATCTTGGAATATTTTTTATTATTAAAACTTTGAACTCTGCTGTGTTTATAGTTCCTTTATTGCATAACAGTTTTCACAATAATATTAAAATCTTATTTAAGTATGGCTGATCCAGGTCTACCAACTTGCAATCTTAAAGAGAAGAATATCTCAGACGAGATCAAAACTGCGTTTAAAGGGACAATTAGCATAATTTCAACTGACCCTCCATGCAAATATTGAAAGCCTGCTTAAAAGCGGTTCCCTTAATACCTTTATCTGAATAGTATATAATTCTGATAATTCCTTTGAGTTTCCCTGCAGTAATAATCAGTTTAAAACATTTATACCTAATTCTTACTTTATCATGAACAATGCTTTTAAAGGCACCGTTGTGAATCGAGCAATGCTTTCAATGAAGGTCACATGAAATTACGCTTACAGTCCTTTAAAGAGTTTCAAGTGAGCCCTGGAACCTGCCTCCTTCCCTGCAAACTAACCTTAATCGATCTCAAGCTGTATTCCTACCACACACCAGTAAGTATCTAAAACATTTTTTTTAATTCAAAAATTTAAAATTGAAAAGTTACCGCCCGTAATCATTTGAGAATTTGGTTATTCGTGTACACCAAAAATGTGTAGCAAAAAAATGGAGTTTGAGTCGAGTAATCAGTTTCTTTTCAGGATAATGTTGAATGCCCATCTACTCGCTGCAACCTTCACCTAACTATCCGTCTGCCAGGAACCGAATTTAATGAATTGGAGAGAGGTCGTTGAACTACCTCCTTTCCGGTTTATATCCTGAATCACCGATTCAAATCCTCTTAAATCTTTAACTTTGAATCGGTGATTCAGGATTTGAACCATTGGTAGATAGTTCAGCGATCTCTCTCCAATTAATTAAATTCCGTCTGCCAGGTGTCATGATGGTTACAACATCTGAGTATATTTATACTATTTGGGATTTTGTTTCGGAGTTTGGAGGTTGGGTTGGAATACTCTTTGGTTACTGTCTTCTGGATCTGGCTGATAATCTTGTATTCATCCTTTCTACAGCATATTAAAGGGAATGTACACGTTGTTTTGAGTGACCCTCCATTTATAGAGGGCCTGTCCGATTTACAACGATACCCCTTTAAACTTTGTCTGATCAAGAGTGATTCCTGTTTAAAATAAAGAAATATTGTTTTCACTTGTGACCTCTCTGCAAAATCCATTTGCGAATCGTTGCTGCAAAAAAATGGAGGAAATTGTGCGTGAAAATTAAATTGAGGGGTTTCTGGCTATTAAAGTTAAAACCTTAGTTAAACAGGATTAGTATTATAGACTATTAAAAATCTCGGTATTTTTATATCGAAATATCAATTCAAATTTTTGTGAAATATTCTAAAATAAAAATAAGAGAGTAAAATTTTAAATAAACAAAATTTGTGGGCCACAAATACAATACTTTCTTTACTTTGACCCGACTCCGCTTAAACACCACTGAAGACTGAATGATATATTATTGTTGAGTTAAAGAAGGGGGGGGGGAGGGTCTCGAAATGAAACGTTTGATCAAGGTAGTTTTCCCTGGAGAGAGGTAGATTTATTTTCAAGTTTTCAAGTTTTTAAATTTTCAAAGTTCTCAAGTTTTCATGATTTCAAGTTCAAGTTTTCAAGTTTTCAAGTTTTCATGTTCCCAGAGGTCTTCTCAAATTCGCCACAAATCCATAGAAGATAACACACGTAGAAGGTATATTTCAATCCTGTGAATAAGTACGGTTAACAATAATGGATCGATAGAATATTTAAATGTTAACAATGTTTTATATTATAAATATGCAGATTTGTTGAGGATAATGGGGTAAAATGATGCGTTTGGTTATCAAGAATAAAACAACATTTAAACTTCGATGAAATAGATATCCGCCGTTTGGTTACAAAAATTTGTTGTTTTACTGCGAAATTACGGATTTTAAGCTTTACAATTTTTTGAAACGTGTTCACTATACATGAATAATGATAAGCTACAATTTTTTTTACTAAAACGTTTAATTTCTCAAAAATATAAAAAAAAATTCTCCCAGAAAATACGCCTTGTTGCTACACTTAGCGATTTATATAATGTTTGACGCCGTTTATGTTTTGTCGGAGCCAAGAAATGTTGGGTTTGGTCAGCGGAGAAAATTCTGGCCAAAGACGACCTTACAACGGAGCAAATGAAGTTTATGGTTTACAATTATGTATTTTTTTTATCAAATGTGATCTTGATGTAACCCTCTGTGTGTAAAATAAAAATAAATAAAAATTTTCACAGGAAGGGGAAAGAAATAACTTATTAATTTAAATGTCCGGGAAATGTAAATCTTGGTAAAATTATGTTAGATGTTTTAGTTATTTCTTATTTGCATCTTAGCGATAATTAAACTAATTTTTTGTCAAAAATAGATTAAAAACCAAAAACTTAATAAAACCGTCGATAAAGACGACGACATTATAACTCATCCCGTATCCAAGTTCTTGAACTAATTACGAAATACCCCTAGTCCTGGCATTTCAAAATGTGGTCTGCCTTTATTGTGATTTCAATATTAGCGGAGAATTTTGCTCTGAATACAATATATTAAATAATACACAAAATGTCTAATCTTTACAATACAAAAAAAGACAGACCACATTTTTAAATGCCAGGACTAAGGGTATTTCTTAATCATAAATTCAAGAATTTTACATCTTAAGTTGAGTGTCGCAAAGTAATTCAACCATTCTTGAAAATCTTCTTCTTCCAACTGTCATGTTTCCCGGGACTACAACCCTGTATGATGTGATGATAACTTCTTTCTTCGGTCAAATTATTGACACAGCTGGACAGGTGGTGCACACGTAAGCATATATACTATCAAGACTGCGTAACTGATGGGGGGGGGGGGGGCATCAGGACACGTGCCAATCTCCCCTTGAAAGATTAATTTTAAGATGAAATAAGTGCTTTTTTACTGTGTATTTTTTTAGGAGCTACGACGTCACAAAATCGCACCAGAAATGTCGCTTGCAATGTACAAAATATCAAAATATTAATAAAACGCAAAATCATTAAAATTTTTTTTTTGATCATTAAAAAAATTAGATCCGCAATTTTGCGGATCTACATTCTATACTGACAGCGTAAAAAATCAACTTAACATCATTCATTACACTGTTAAACGGGAAATTAAACTTCGAACGGAAGAAAAAAGTTTACACAATTTTCAATTTTTTTTCGCTGCATTGTTTTTTACCTAAAGGGATAAGCGTGATTTTAGCCTTGCACATATTTAAATATCCCTGATTCACAACAGTGCCCTTTAAACCCTTGACTAGGCATGTGGTTAAAAAAGCCTTTAAAGGGACAGACCGGCTATGTAAGGTAGATTAACTGAGTATGCATTGTTGTGGACAAATTCTTTGGGATTAATTTGAAACATATAAAACTCTTTAAAGATCTGAGTTTGAGCACAAAGTCGACGTTCAAAATCGTACTTTTGGGTAGATACGTTTTCATATTTTTTTTTATTTATTAAATAACAACAACAAAATGTACACAAAATTGAACAGTAAACTAATTAGTTGTTTAGGAACAGGTTGAGAAAATATTAACTCTTATCAACGAAAATAAGTAATCTTATTCAATTATTTGTTTCTATAATCTCTCTTTAATCACAAAGATTTTCTGAAGATTATTGAAAAGCCCCCCCAACGTCGTCCAGGGGATTGAATTTGAAGAATTTAAAGAAATCTGTGAACAAATTCATAGAAAACAAGAAATTCAATATAATGATGGAAAAGGAATTAATTAATTCTAACTTCTATTTATTGACAATTTCTTTTAAGAAATATGTTCCTAAACATCCAACTAGTTTACTGCAGAATTTTTACTATATTTTTCGTCGTCGATATTTCAGGGAATATTAGTTTCAAAACTAGCACTTGGCCAAGTCTTTAAAGTTATCTTTTTCGGAGTATATATTTTTAAATCCAAGACGAGTAGAACAAAATTACATATATTTATAAAAAATGGCTGAAACTATTTATTGAAACAATAAATGTCAATTTTAAACTAATAATAAGGTGTGAGAACTAGTTTTTGATGATTCTTAATTGCATTTTCGAACATATCCCGAGACAATTAACGAAATTAATATCAATGTCAATTTTCAAGTATTTACGCACTTATGAAACAAAAAAAGATATTCACAAAATAGAAAATAAATACAAACTGTTCTTTTATAATTTAAAAATCATTAAAGCATTGAGAAATCAAAAAATTAATATCATTTGTTTTTACAATACAGATTTAATTAGAAATGCGGGAAATTGTTTGTTTAAAATGCTTGAAATAAATCATAGATATTTTCTAGTCTAATTTATAAAACTACCCTTATAGGGCGCTTCGCGCCCATCTTCTAAATTAATTGTGAACATGTTCTCTTTGTGTGCATCGTAAAACAAAACAAAAATAATTCCCGGATTTTCACAAAAAATTTCGTGGATTTTCAAAATTTTCAAAAATTTAATGAAGATCGAATTTTGATGGAAACAAATATTTGAAATTTTGATCATTCATAAACCTTCCCTGTGGTCACGTGATGTCCCACAAAAAAATGGTGCCCGATCGGTTCAGCCGTTTTGACGTTTATTGCATACAAACAAGCCAAATTTATAGATAGATATGGAAACTTAGATTCTGGAAATAATTCAGGATGTAATGCAAGGAAAGTTATTTCAGAGGTGTACGCATCTTTTGTACTGCAGTGTACTATCAATGGGCGGTAATGTAAACACAACACGTATGTCAAAGCCTGACATGGGATCCACTTTTACATAAAAAAAATCAATAAAATATTCTGGTCATAGGAAACTATTATGTGAATAATCAAAATTATTAAAATTTAATGCTTTTAACCTCCTCGAATACTAAACGAACTTACAAATTCCGCCCATAGAGAGCTAGTTGCAATATGTACGCAGAGTATACGCGACACCAATTAACTTTCCTTGCATTACAACCTTGATTTAGTCTTCATAAGATAAGTTTTGTTTTTAGTGATTTATTTTGCAAGTTATGAAGGTGAGTTTTGTTTTGAATTGTGGATTATACTCAAAACGGGAAAGAGGGTTTTGTCCACAACACTGCATACTCAGTTTAACTACCTTACATAGCCGGTCTGCCCCTTTAATCCAGAGTGTTCGCTAGTGTTCTGTGTGAACTCAACGCTGGGGACGTCACATTTATTTCTGGAAAAAAAATATGTTTCTGTGGATTTATAAGAAATAGTACGTCATCCTCATAGTACGTCATCGTCATGATCATGTCAAAAAGGTGTAGTGTAGTTATCCGTGCTGACCGGACGTGTCTTTGTGAGCTCCCGGATTAAACTGACCGACAACCCAACACCGGGTTAACTTATTCACATGCTCCATATTATGTGAAAACACAAACACTCAGATAACTTGTTTAGTGCATTTATTTCCAGTAAAAAATATTTCTACTATCTGGCAGTATTCTGCACCATAAATTAAATATACTGCAATGTGTACTATACAATTTATTAAAGCAAACAATGTTAGATAAGTAGATAACTAAAAAAAATATGGATAAGAGAAATTATAATCTCTAGAAAAGTTTGTTAAATAAGAAGTTGTTTACGCATAATGCATTATCTCAAAATGTGATAATGACGCAACCAATTTCCAATATTGTTTTTATCACTCACTAATTTCTTAAAAATAATTTCCAATCTTATTCTCGACTACTTCTATACCTACCATTTAATATCCTTCCTACTCCTACCTACACCTTCCATATATTATCCTTCCGATTCCTAAACCTTCCAATCCATATACTACCCTTCCTATTTCTACAACTTCCATATACAATCCTTCCTACTCCTACACCTTCCATATATTATCGTTCCTACTCCTACACCTTCCATATACTATTCTTCCTACTCCTACACCTTCCATATATTATCGTTCCTACTCCTACACCTTCCATATACTATCCTTCGATCCTACTCCCTACACCTTCCATACACTATTCTTCCTACTCCTACACCTTCCATATATTACCCTTCCTACTCCTACACCTTCCATATATTATCGTTCCTACTCATACACCTTCCATATACTATCCTTCGATCCTACTCCCTACACCTTCCATACACTATTCTTCCTACTCCTACACCTTCCATATACTACCCTTCCTACTCCTACACCTTCCATATACTATTCTTCCTACTCCTACACCTTCAATATGCTATTCTTCCTACTCCTACACCTTCCATATATTATCCTTCCATATACTATCCTTCCTACTCCTACACCTTCCATATAATATCCTTCCTACGCCCTACACCTTCCATACACTATTCTTCCTACTCCTACACCTTCCATATACTATTCTTCCTACTCCTACACCTTCCATACAATATCCTTCCTACTCCAACACCTTCCATAAACTACCCATTCTACTCCTACATCTTCCATATACTATCCTTCCTACTCCTACATCTTCCATACACTATCCTTCCTACTCCTACACCTTTCATATGCTATTCTTCCTACTCCTACACCTTCCATATATTATCCTTCCATATACTATCCTTCCTACTCCTACACCTTCCATATATTACCCTTCCTACTCCTACACCTTTCATATACTATCCTTCCTACTCCTACACCTTCCATATACTATCCTTCCTACTCCTACATTTCCATACACTATCCTTCCTTTTCCTNCCATATATTATCCTTCCATATACTATCCTTCCTACTCCTACACCTTCCATATACTACCCTTCCTACTCCTACACCTTTCATATACTACCCTTCCTACTCCTATAACTTCCTCTAATTCCTATTGCCATGTTTTTGTTTGTTTTTGAATAATTTTTCTATTTCTTATTTTGGGGTACATTCTTTTTTTTATTATTAGATCGCCTTAAATTTTTATTGTTCGTTTTATATCTTTTCTTAGATTTAATGATTCACTCTCTCTTTAACTTTCATCATGGTTTTATCTTTATCCCTTGGTAACTCCTTGCTAAATCCTAGATTGCAATGCAACTGTGCAGAAATGCAAAATGCATGCATTAACAGATTTCAGCTGAATTTGCAGATTTTGCAAATGGACTCTGCACAATTGTATTGATTTCTGATGATGTTCATTTTAATGTGCAATATACAGCACAACTAAATATTAAAAATCTTATTTCAAAACCAGGTTTTAAACATTTTTTTAAAATGAAGTTTAAGAAATTACTGTTTTCAAGTATACATTCTTGACTGTTTTAAACATAGTCGTATTATTATATAAAGAGAAACTCTAAAAGTTCTTGAATTTTAGAACATTAGGACGAGAAGACAAATTACTGAATTTGATTGGTGAACTTTTATATTGAAACTAGCTCAAGAACATAGCGTTGCCCGCCGTTTACCCGCGCTTGGTCGTAAATTACAATGTTACCCAATCAAATTTGAGGCAAATCCGGCAAGGGGTTGCCGAGTTATGATCGGACATACAAACAAACAGACAAACGGTTATTACAACTTTATATATATACTAGCTTGGGAACCCAGCGCTTCCCAAGTTACTAAAAGTTATTCATGTCGTTTACCCGCACTTGAACGATTTACCGGGAAACTAAATTTTCTCTATTAAAGTCGACCTAATCTTGACTTAGAATCTCAAACCCAAGCTAAGAACATTCACGTGGGTCTCCCGAATTCAAAGTTTGAGGCAAATCGGTCCATGGGTTCCTGAGTTATGATCGGACAAACAAACAAACAGACACCCAGACAAACAGAAATTACAACTAAATATATATATATAGATTGTCCCAGACAAAGTTTTGTCCCGATTGGTTTAGCCGTTTTGACGTTTATTGGATACAAACAGACAAGCAAATTAAATATATATATATAGATAAATACTTTTCTATTTTCAGCGATTTGATTTTCTATACGTTACACAAAAAGCTTTTTTAAACTTTAGATTAATGCAAAAACAACAACAAAAAATGTTAACTAAAAAATTATTACATTAAATTATCAATTTTTTAATTGCAAATTTATAATGATAACTTTAAACTTTTAGCTACCCTTTAAAATATATTTCTAAGATTCTCTATAACGGTAACCTAGATTAAAACAAACTTATTTGAATCATCTTTGCATGAGAAACAAATCAAAGTTTTTTATTTATAAGATTAAATAATTACAAATGCCTATATTCAAGTAGACGACTTTTTTCAGCAATGCTTGCAATGTGTTCTGATTCTTTCTTCCCAAGATTTGTGAACATCCACTCCAAAACCTTGTTGAAACCAATACCTTGAACTCCTTGGTTTGCAACATTCGTCGCTAAAAAATAAATGATTAAAGTTTTCCATTTTGCAGTTTTCCATTTTTACAGTTTTCTAGTTTTCCAGTTTTGAAGTTGTCAATAAAATAAGATTAATTATTATGTCTGGTTCAGCAGCTAAAAATTCCGGAAATTCATGAACATTGCACTCGATATTACGGACTTAAACATTCGATTCATCACTACGAGGCAATTTAGGTTGCGGCCCTAACTGTTAAAATCAAGCGCCACATTTTCCGAAATTTGACGAGATGATACTCAATCTTCACAACGGTAGCCTTAAAAGCTTTGTCTGATCAAGTATGAATTAGATATCAATGTGTACAAGCTGATCAACTGATCATTTTCAATTGTGGGTTCTCTACAAAAGTTACTTGCGCATGTTACCACTGGAAAACATATAAAAGTTATCAGAGTGTAACACTAGCCTGGAAAAATGCAATATCTTCCACGTTATTGATCAGATAAAGGTACAGTTGTAAATCAGAGACTAGATTAAATGAATAGCAATACGTGGTTAAACCGCGAAGATGGGGTTCAATCATTTCTCTACACCTAAACCGGGCACAAGAGAAGTTGTTGAACTACGTCTGACTAATTCAGCTACTTTTTTTGCAACTATAAATGACTAGAATATCAAAATCTGAAGCAAATGTCCAGTTCCTTTAAAGTCAAACGTTAGCATTTTCATTAACATTAGAAACATCAGAATCAAATCAAATAGATAGTAGATACTTGGTTAAGGAATTAATATTTCAAAGTCAGGTTTACTGGAAGAAAAGTTACCCACAAAGGATGAGGATAACACTGGATATTTATAATTTTAAGTTAGTAATATGTTAAATTTAGTCATCAACTTTAAATAAGGTCTTTCTAGGTTTACTTAATGACTTGACAATATTTAATTGTGTTTAGTACAATAAAATAAAAAACTACTTTTTATTTTAGTTTTGATTTTTAACAAGCTTTTTCAAATTACAATTTTTTTTAATTGAGAGCTTCTCTTGACTTCTATGTTTATGTGTATCCAATTACCCATGCTGCTTAACAGTTTGATATAAATCAAATTTGAAATCGAAAGTCGTCTTCATTGTATCAATAAAATGCGTATTTTACTTTTGGTCGGCAATTGGAAGACCGTTCATATTTTCCAACCCAACCGAAAACCATCCCAAAATTTACAAAAAAAATCAAAATAAAATTTTGCTTAAAATAAATATAACTGTCTTTTCTGAGAGACTAAAGTTTCATCCTTTATGGGAAACTTTATACAAACCTCATATAAAAAATCTAATTAACTTACCAATATTAGCCCCGATTTGAAACCTAGGTATTATTACACAGTTTGCAAAATTATGGCCATCAGTTCCTCCATGAGTGAAAACAGTTCCAACAAGTGGATTGCTGTTATCAATGAACCATCCAAACCCATAGTATCCCCCTACAATAGGAGTATGCAATTTGGTCCATTGCTCTGCAGGAAGAAAGTCTGTATCTTCGAAAAGATGAGCAAGCAGATATTTTCTCCATGAGTCCAGGTTGCATTTGATTCCTCCGTCTGGGACCATTGATGAAGCAATATTTGAGAAATCACTTGGCGGAACTGGAAGGTTTCTGTAAGCCCAAACATCACTGAGATGTCCCCAAGGTTGGTTGGGAGGAAGGGTAGGATCTGTGGTTGTTGGACCAAATCCACAACCTTCCATCTCTAGAGGATCAAACAATAGTTCTTGACAAAGCTCTTCGAAGGTTTTGTTAGTCGCCACTTCCAGCATAGCACCAGCAATAGTAAACCCTCCAATAGAGTATTCAAAAGTATACTGTGGAACATACGGATCATCCTTGAGAGGTGTCATATCAATAGGACTAATAATCGATTAAATAAAAGGTCGTTTAGACTAATATTCATTTGGATTTTGAACTGACGTTCAAAACGTCCAATTAATATGAATTTGTTTAATTGAACTATTTAAAAAAATTAAGTATTTTCAGCACAAAAAAATAAGATGTAATTTTAAGTGATTGAGGCCAGGTTACGACAATCTTTAAGCCGAGCGCTGCGGCTAGTACATACCAGGGGCCACCACTATGATGATGCCTATGTGATATATATATTTTTGTATTAGTTGATTTAAACATGATGAATTTTAATTTGGCTCATATGCTCAAATGTTCAAATGGACTAAAAACCAGTTTGTGAACTAAAGTGCAATTGAACGGCTTTTAGTCCAATAGATATAGCATTCCTTGAGTATTGTTGCTGATAAATAAATTCTCTCTGCTCTATTATCATATCCATCCACCCAGCTTGTTTTGTTAAATATATAGTCTACCAAATCTACATATATGGAACTAATGGGCTCCAGACCAGGGGCACCACTTCCATGACTAGCAAACAAATAGTTCATTACCATTGGAATTAGTTTTTTAAAAAGTCTAAGGTTTTTTTTTTACTCTTTAAAGCCATCATAGAAATCTTTGAGATCAAAACTGTTTTCTGTAAAAGTAAGTTGATGTGTTTGTATCCACATAAGTTCAAAAGTAGCATGATTCGAACCAGGATTGCCTGGTGTAGTTTCTTTTTGTACCAACCCGTCTAATGTATGTGGTTGATCCAGCGCGTTCTCGTTTAATGTAACAAAATTAAGCGGCGGAACCACCCTGAATCCAATTCACGTCAAAATATCTGAACCGATTAGGCCAAATATTTTGTGGCAACTCACATGACCCAATGACGGTCAAAATTAAAAGAAATATTGACTTGCAAAAAAGACGAGTTTTACTATTTTTTAAAAGATCTGCAAAACTTTGCTTTTGTTTTTATGATGATGACAAATCAACAGGACTTGAAATCAGATTAAGAACTAAAGTGTGTAACTTGTAAGTATAATTTGGAATTTACTTACCTCAAGAACAGTTCAAGTGTAGATGGCCAATATCCTTCATTGACCTCGAAGAGTCCAGCGTCATGAAATAATTCTTTAACTGTTGTATTCCATTGGATCAAACCCATGTCCACTACTTTAGCAGCAACTGTAGCCACCATTGATTTTGTGTTCGAACCCATTACCCATCTAGAAATTGAATATTAGATTACACTGAAGAAATTATTGTGTTCAGTCTATCTAAATTACAAAAGACAGTTCGATATATTGAACAGTCTCTTATCTATGAAGAAAACTCATTTCCTAGTGTAGGAATCATAGATATATGTATGTATATGTATATCTATGGTAGAAATCTAATGTATGTATATGTATATCTATGGTAGGAATCTAATGTATATATATGTATATCTATGGTAGGAATCTAATGTATATATATGTATATCTATGGTAGGAATCTAATGTAAGTATATGTATATCTATGGTAGGAATCTAATGTATGTATATGTATATCTATGGTAGGAATCTAATGTATGTATATGTATATCTACGGTTGGAATCATAGAGGTATGTATATGTATATCTATGGTAGGAATCTAATGAATGTATATGTATATCTATGGTAGGAATCTAATGTATGTATATGTATATCTATGGCAGGAATCTAATGTATGTATATGTATATCCATGGTAGGAATCTAATGTATGTATATGTATATCTATGGTAGGAATCTAATGTATGTATATGTATATCTATGGTAGGAATCTAATGTATGTATATGTATATCTATGGTAGGAATCTAATGTATGTATATGTATATCTATGGCAGGAATCTAATGTAAGTATATGTATATCTATGGTAGGAATCTAATGTATATATATGTATATCTATGCGGTAGGAATCTAATTGAAACTGTTGGCTTCTGTTGGCCACCGTTTCACAGATAACGACGATTAAAGGGTCTGTATGCGTAATTGCTAGTGACCCTTTATTAAAAAATGACAGTGCCTGATTCACAACAGTACCTTTCAAACCTTTATCTTATTAATAATGCGGAAGATATTCTCATTTTTTTGGGTTAAAATATGATAATATTTACATGTTTTCCCGCATTAGAGTCATTTTCGTAGAGAACCCACAATTGAAATAACCAGTTTTTAAATGATAAACATTGATATCTACAAAAAATGTTCTTTCTTTCTTTTTAAGTCTCGTCACAGCAAACACTTTACCAGAGTAGGAACCAATGTTATTTGGATAGGGCCAATATCAAATACATTTCTTGCAGTGTATGAACCATTAGTTACAGAGCGTTCCACTACAAAACATGGAAATTCACAGACAACTTTTTTTTCGATAACTATGTTATAGCAAAGTTTGCATCGAAAAAAAATTCTATATCGAAGCCTACTTGATTTGAGTCATATTTCATAAGACAAAGTTATAGTGTAGGTTTTGATAATTTTGTTAATTCAATAAATTGAAATCTGAACAAAATTTTTATTTAATTCTGGTAATGTTTAAAAGCAAAAAAGGTAGATCAAATTTGCCAAATATTAAGAATAGTTTTTTTAATGATAATCTTGTCAAGAATCGTTTGTCATTAAATATTTATCAGAGAACAATGACGATCTTCAGACCGTTTCTGAATTGTAATGTTTATTGGGTTCTTAAATTTTTACTTACTGATCGTCAAAATGGATTGCAGCATCATCCCCTTTCATCCTCTTCCCACTCTGCAACATTCAACATCATAAAATCATTTATAAAAATTTGTGAACGAAAAAAAAGTTTAATAGATATATAAAGTTTTTTCTTGAAAAGGTTTATGATTAATTATATGGTAGGTTAAAGACAAAGTCAAAATAAAAAATTATTACTTGGGCTTTCATAAGATAATCCAGTTTTGTGAAAAGTGATGCAGAAATTCCAACATGGTGAAATTGTTCAACATCTGCATCCAGAACATCCTGGAGGTTATCAAGATTTTCAAACTGAGCCTAAAATTTTAAATGTTAAAGATTATTCATAGCTATTTGTAAAATTTTAACCTTTATCGTTGCTTTTATTTTGTTATCAATTGCCTATGTAAAATGTATGACTATTAAAGAGATTAACAGTTCCACAGTAAACTAATTAAATGTTTAAGAACATATTTTTAATAGAAATTTGTCAATAAGTAAATATTAGATCAATTATTTAATTTTCATAATTATATTAAATTTCTTATTATTTCAGAATTTGTTCGCAGATTTCTCCAAATTCTTCAAATGTCGTCTGTTCAATAAAAATTCCTGAAATTCTACAGAAAATGTTTTTAAACAATGATTGATTACAGAAACTAATAACTGAATAAGATTACTTATTTTTGATTATAAAAGTTAATTCTTCATTTCTCAACCTATTCCTACTAATTAATTTACTGTAGATTTTGTGTTGCAAATTTTGCCGCCGTTATTTAATAATTTAAAAACATCGATTCTCAAATCGAAACCACCCAAATGGATGATTTTGAAAGTTGAGTTTGTGCTCAAAGTCAGTAATTATAAATCGTTAAAACGTGTTATATGTCTCAAATGAATCCAACGAATTTCTCTACAATAGTACATTGTCAGGTCAACAAAAAACATTGCTGGTCACTCCCTCTTCATTTTAAACTTATAACTGGCGTTTAGTCCCGTTAATGAGCTAACAACTTAAAGTCGAATTCCAGAATTTTCCGTAAAGGAATTGAGTCTTTGTCACAAGCTCTGATTTTCTAATTCCTAAATCTTTGCAGTCCAATGTTGTAGACATTTGACATTTCAAACTATGACTTCTGTTAGATCTAATAATATAAGTTTGAAATATCAAAGGTTTACTACATTGGATTCAAAAGATATAGGGATTGAATTTGTGGCAAGGACTCAATTCCTTTGTTAAAAATTTATTTAATGGAACTTACCTCTATCAAAAGGTTATGTGCCATGAATTCATTTTAAAAGTGTTTGTTTTGATTTTAGAAAGTAAGACAAAAAATAAAAATGAAATATTGTTTTTTGTTGTAAATTTTCTATTCCTAAAAAAACAATTCCTCTTGTTCCTTCACAAATCGAAAATTGATAGTTTTTACATTCAGTAAAATGGAATTTCCACTAGTTTTCAAAAACTGTCTTTTGTTTGCTGTTCCTTTCCCACTGCTCTACGTACATGTTTGAACATTTAATCATTAAGAACCTTAGATTTCCTTGTTTTTAATGGGGAATTATTTGAAATAAGCAAATATTTTCTTTTATATAAGGGCAACACACCCTTTGGAACCATTTCAAATGCATAAGCTTTGACTTTTTAAAGAGAGAATAGACAAGAAAAGATTAGATGATACAAGACAAACAATTTTTGTATAATTTAGGAACAGTTTTTTTCCCACTCACTCAAAATACTTAATCTTACAGAATTCATAGTCTTTAGTATCAAAGGTCCTTGACATTGGGTTACAAAGCTATAAGGATTACATATCAGATTTTGTCTAAAACCTCAGTTATTTTCGCTTTCTGATTTTGAGAGCCTACCCTAGCTAGAGCAAAGAGTCCACAGAGTGGACCTAGTATCTTCATGATGTGTACTAGACTAAGATACTGCTGGAAAATTAACCTGAATGAAAGATAAAGTAAATCTTCACGTTTCTGTACAGTTTTTTCTTCTTCAAAGTTTAAAGCGAGTGTTTATGATTTTGAAATGAGAAATTGCCATAATTATAATAATAATCTTATCCTTCTTTCACCTTGACAATCTTCATTTTTTAAAAGAAAAGAAATGGAAACTGTAAACCTGAAACCGTAAGAGTTTTTGAAAACTCAAAACGGTACAACGGTGAATACAAAAAGTTTGATTTATGTCCTCTCTTGTTCAAGATTATAGCTTTTTATAAATATTTTTTTGGCCGAATTCTATCTTATCCTAAAATTTCATCAAAATCAGAATTAGAATTAGAGAAAATCTGGAAAATTGTCTTGAGTAAATTCTATTTTTTTGGGGGCTATCAATTAATAGATATAAGAATTAGACCGGAGAAATATATATTCAAAAGGATTAAGTACATTTTGATTAAGAAAGCAACTGCTGTGCTATTTTTATGGACGACTGGACAACACATAGAGAATGGTTTTTTGAAAAGAAGACGCTTATCACACTTTTTTTGTGGACTAACCATGTATATTTTTACATATTTTACACCAACAGTCCCTTTAAAGATAAATGATCACTGATCAGTGTACGTACTGTGATTATAAAAAATTCCACTGTTTGAAAAGGTGTACTATGTTTGCTGAAGAACAATTGATAAGAACACTTATTCAAAGACATTTTCAGTTTAAACTCAATCTTCAAGATGAAACATTTTCTTCTCCTAGGTATCCAACTTAACCTTTGGTATAGGGGCACTTCTGATTCACAACTGTACCTTAAATGCTTTGTCTGATCAAGTATATATCAGATATCAGATATATCAGACTAAATGTTTTCATTTGTAGTGTCTTTGCAATAGTGCATTACGCATTTGTTGCTTCAGAAATAATGGAGGAATTATCATAAGTAAACACTTTTAAACCGAGAAAATTAAAAACGGCGTACTCTTTTACATTACAATCAGATTCAGGTTTCAGAGGTACCGTTGTTAAAATTATGTTTACAACCCTTTAATAAATACTTTCTCTTTTACTAATTTGACCATCTTATTCTTTTGTTGATAGATACATATTTTTCGTACATTCTTGAAATATTAGAGTTGCAATAATCGATTTTCAAGACATAACTATTGCTCTGAGACTGTTTACATTTTTGAATTTTTTAGCTAATATATATATCCAAAACTTTAGGGTAAAATCTTGGCCTCGATCAGACATACTGCCTGAAAGCCTTTTTTTACTTATATCGGACTTAATCAAACAAAAGGAGGCGAATTGCACAATTTTTGCGAAGAAATGTTTAATATATTTTTTAACATATGTGTTTAAAGGGAATTTGCACATTTTCAGTTTTCTTAAATAAACGTTTAATTTTGACATTAATGTAAATATTTTTCCATATTTGAATTTGTAGTCAAAGGCTTTTAAAAAAAGCATTGTTTGTAATATGGAATATATATTGAAGAGAAGGGATATCTCAGAAATCCTACACCNTAGGGTATATTTATTTAAATTTTTTATAATTTTAGCGGTTTCGCTTTCCCTTACTTATGGAGACTTTGTCCTGCCCGACATTGAGAAGTACAGGGTTCTCGGCTATGCTGGAGGTTATGTAAACCCAGTTGGAGAACAGGTAAACAGTTATCATTGAGGACAGAGATCTCAGTACTTATATCTTTTAAATTCTGTACCTATAAAAAGCCGTAAAAATTGAGTGTACGTTAGCGTACTGTGTACTCAACGCAGATGAGGCTTTAAGCAGTCCCTTTAAGAGGTTTTATCTATATAATATGAGAGTAGGAGATTACTGCACTGTAAACCCCCAATTTTAATTGTCTTAATAATGAAAGTATGTTCTAAATATATATTTGTTTTATATTCTAAGAAAGCATTACACAACACATATATATGTATTAAATATATCAGTTGAAACACAACAATCTTCTTATATAACATTTTATTCATAAACAAATTGTTTCATGCTTTTATGCAATCATCGGTATGAATGATTTGAGAATTTTTCACAGATGTTTCGCGGATTTTAACGAGATGTTAAATTAATTTTCAAATTAATGTATTATATATATGTACATATTACAGATATATATATATATATATATATATATATATATATATATATATATCTAGATGAATGTTCATGGTGGACAAAGAATGTCTGAAGACCCCACACCAGTAGGTAGAAATAAGGCCGAATATTTGTTGTTTAAAGGGATTGTTCATGAAAAATGAAAGGAGTGGATTTTAAAATCAATTGGCAACAATTTTTTTCTACAGAATTCCTTTCTTCGCTGTAAGCACCTCACAGTTTTGCATTACTAAAACATAACATGAAAAAAGATTGATAGCAATCGATTTTGAATTCAATTCAGCTTTAGCTTGTGGCTATATGCCTATTGCCTGTATCTCCAGAAAATTTTCTAGAAACCTCTATTTAAGTCGAATACTTTCATGCCTAACAGACTATTTGAGCACAAGGTCTTGCATAAAAATGAAATGGAAAAAATTTAAATATCCTAAAACACCCAGAAAGCAAAATATCTTGTAAATTTTCTTTTATCGAGTTTTGATTCTTTGAAGAAGAGATTAAGTAAACTCTCAAGAAGACATATTTGCCTGTCAACTATAAAAGAAGGATGTTTGGGGGAGGGTCTTTTTTAATCTGATTTTCTTCTCCAGTTTGCATCTTTTCCTTTGAAATTAATTGTACATTGGTCGGCGTATATATAAATACAATTATCTCGACATTTTTATTTAAGTTTTCAATTCAGGCTTTCAAATTACAAGCTTACAAGTAAAATAAAAAGAAGCTGTTAATTAACAGCTGGTTTAAAGCTTTGTAAAAATAAAAATTGAATAAAAAGTCGTCTTTAGTGTATTGATTTATACGACGATCGCTGTACTTTTAAAGATTCTGTTTCAAATGTACTGCAGGGTCGTGCATGGTATAGGAGAGTTTAAAAAAAGAGTCCGGCCCATTATTTCAAGAAACCCCCCCCCCTTTAATTTAAGATTCTTTATAAAAAAAGCGGTTAAGTCAGAAATCATGAAAAATGGAAAAAATATTGGAATTTTTACAAAAAAAAACTATTATTAAATTATTGAGTAAAAATCTTAGATTATATATTTTAGGACCGTCTGATAAATGGCAAATGGGAGAAAGCTCAAAAATGGTTTTAGGTAGGAACTAATAATTTTTCCTGGAAAGCTTTAAGATTTTTCTCATCTTGAATTCTTTTTCTTTAAAGTGTTATTTAGCTTTGACAATTGCTAGAGTAGCAGCCCAGGGATTTGATACTGAAATTCCGTTACAGGTGGAAAATTCAATTTATAATTCCTCTCATCCTTCTCATCCTTCTCAACCAACTAAACCTTCTAATCCTTCTCTTCCTTCTCATCCTTCTCAACCTTCTCATCCTTCTCTTCCTTCTCATCCTTCTCAACCTTCTCATCCTTCTCTTCCTTCTCATCCTTCTCAACCTTCTCATCCTTCTAGTCCTTCTCATCCTTCTCATCTTTCTCAACCTTCTCAACCTTCTCAACCTTCTAATCCTTCTCGTCCTTCTCATCCTTCTCAACCTTCTCAACCTTCTCAACCTTCTCATCCTTCTCTTCCTTCTCATCCTTCTCATCTCTCTCAACCTTCTCATTCTATACTCATCCTTCTCATCCTGTACTCATCCTTTTCATCCTGCACTCATCCTTTTTATCCTGTACTCATTCTTCTCATCCTGTACCCATCCTGCACTCATCCTTCTCCTCCTAGACTCATCCTTCTCATCCTGTACTCATCCTGCACTCATCCTTATCATCCTGTACTCATCCTGTACTGATACTTTATATTTTGTACTCATACATAGGATGAGAAGGATGATTGATGAATATTTTAGCTGATAGATGATTATTTTGAAAATATTTATTTAGAATGTTCTTGATTTCCAGCTCGGGAAAGGGTTTGAGAATATTATTTTTATTCAACTACTAACTCGGGTAATCTTGATTTTTGATAGTATTACTAAATATGGTCAAATTCATGCGACATTACTGGTTCGACTTTGTGACCTCGTAGCTCATTTAGTTTTGATTACACACCCAAGTATAAATTTATCTGTGGCCGAATTTAAAGAATTTGAGCGGCGGTTTAAATATGGTTGGTTCCACTTAAAATTGTATCAAATGTTTCAAGATTTAAGCCGGCGCTTAATTTAAACCGGGTTTTGACGGATTTAAACCGCGGCTCAAGTTCTTTAAATGCCATCTCTGGTTACTTATCAGAAATTCAAATCATTTTATTCTTTTTATTACCTCTTTAATATAAGAAGAGTTAGTTATGATTAAGCACAGAAAATATTGACATCATGCGTCCAATTTACGTAAATTTGACTTGTGCTGTTTTATATCATAACTTGAGTCCAACAGTCGTCTTTCTTTTCACCAGTTTTATTTATCCCGCTGTATATTCTGTTTGATGTTGATGATGATGATGACAGGGTTACCGACAAAGAATTATACATCATGACGAGTGTACAGAATTTATGCAGAATCTTTCACAGCCTTGATTCTACTTTAAACTTGTTTCTTCTTCGCCTAATTTCTCCGTAAATCCCTTAAATGCTGTATTTTAGGCAACATATCTCCAAAATTAACCTACATATCGCTTAAAATCATGATTTTATGTCGTCATTTTAGTCTCACACTTTTTGAATAACCCTGTATCAGTGACCTAATATGAAATTAATGTTCCAGCAATCTGGGCTTCCTGGTGCTACTGATATGGCTGTCGGTCATCTGGATTTTTTTTCTCAACTTCAACAAGAAACAAATTTTGATGTAGGGGTTGATAACAGAGCTCTTAGGTAGATTTTATCCTCTCGTAGTTTCAAATCTTATCCTCTCGTAGTTTTAGATCTTATCCTCTCGTAGTTTTAGATTTTATCCTCTCGTAGTTTTAGATCTTATCCTCACGTAGTTTTAGATCTTATCCTCTCGTAGTTTTAGATGCCATTTTTACTTTTTTCTAATTGTTTTACTTTCACAAAATGACCCTGTACTGCATTGCAAAACCTGCTGGCTCAATTTGCAATGAAATCCTCACGTTTTGTTTGACCTCTCGACTATGACCAAAGATGGTTCGTTTGTTCATCGACCATCGTTCTGTTTTTATCGATAACGTTTTTTCAATTCTATAATAGTCTAAATTCTGCCACAAAGAACTGATTCGATTATCCATTAAGTTACAAGGACCGCTATTTTCCTCTTGTTCATTTAAAATTATATTCTTTCAGTAATTCTATCATATCGATCAAGAGTACTATTTTTTTTCTCAAACGATCCTAATTATAATACCATTTCATTTTTTGCGGAGTTTTTAATATCTAATTACAAATTTTGTGAAGGCACGAGCTAACTGAACATTTTCTTGGTGAAAATGCCCAGGCATACCCACTCACTGAAGAGGAGTCTATTGTAAACTGGCCAATAGCAGCGCATATACTTGAGCTTGTAACTAATAAAACATATGAACAACTTGTGTACGACGAGGTCTTTGATCAACTTGGTAAGTATGTATACCCAAGTTGTAAGAATGTAGAGATGCTCATCGTTTTCATTTTTTTACTTTTAAGAGGCGTTATAAAAAGAAAGTTTTACTTATGATGTCAGTACACAAGCATAATGTATATAGTAAAGGTTTATACGTCTTTTTAGGAGCAACAACCTCGCCACTATTCATTACTTAAATCTTAACTTAACTGTAAGCGTAATTTTTAGTGACTCTTTATGGCAATAAATGAGTTACAACGGTACCCTTAAAACCTTTGTGTGTTCTTCGAGTACAGAGATTTGTGTGCTTAAACTTATCAAAACCCGCTTGTATTCATTGTCCTCTTTGCATATAGGGTCACTTGAAAGCACGCTTACAGTCCCTTGAACTTAACCTATTGCATCTGTTATTAAACTGAAAAAATGTTTTGCAAAGGTATTGAGGGATGTGGGTTTGGGCCTAACACTGTTGATCCTTCCCTGCCCCCAAGTCAGCCCTGGAGTCATATAGCTGATGCATTTGGACTTTATAACATTCCCATCACACCATCAAACCAGGTAGAGCTATCATTCCCATGTCATATCACAACATCAAACCAGGTAGAGATATAATTTCCATCACACCATCAAACCAGGTAGATATAAAACCTTCCCATTAAAACAGGTTAAGATAAAACTTTCCCATTTAAACCAGGTGGAGATAAAATCTTCCCATAAAACCAGGTAGAAATAAACCTTCCCATTTAAACCTGGGGGAGATTAACCTTCACATCAAGCCAGGGGGAGATATACCTTCCCATCAAACCAGGGGGAGATAAAACCTTCCTATAAAACCAGGGGGAGATATACCTTCCCATCAAACCAGGGGGAGATAAAACCTTCCCATAAAACCAGGGGGAGATAAAACCGTGCCATCAAACCTGGTACATATAAAACAATTCTCATTAAACTAGGGTGAGATAAACATTCCCTTTAAACCAGGTTGAGATGATACCTTTCCATCTATACAGCTAAAGACAAATCTTTCCATCACACCAGTTAGAGATAAACCTTTACATCAAACCAAATAGAGATAAAACACATCCCACCAAATCAGATAGAGATTAAACCTTTCAATTAATAAGCGGAAGATTAAACATTCCCATCAAACCAGGAGTAGATAAACCTTCCAATTAAACCAGAAAGAGATAAAACACTTACCACTAAATCAGGTAGAAATAAAACTTCACATGAAACCAGGTAGAGATAAAACCTTCCCATCCAACCAGATAAAACTTCACATGAAACCAGGTAGATATAAAACCTTCCCATCAAACCAGGTAGAGATAAAACTTCACATGAAACCAGTTAGATATAAAACCTTCCCATCAAACCAGGTAGAGATAAAACCTTCCCATCCAACCAGGTGGAGATAAAACTTCCCATGAAACCAGGTAGATATAAAACCTTCCCATCAAACCAGGTAGAGATAAAACCTTCCCATCCAACCAGGTGGAGATAAAACTTCACATGAAACCAGGTAGATATAAAACCTTCCCATAAAACCAGGTGGAGATAAAACTTCACATGAAACCAGGAAGATATAAAACCTTCCCATCAAACCAGGTGGAGATAAAACTTCACATTAAATCAGGGGGAGATGAAACTATTGAACCTAGTAAGATAAACCTTGTTAGATAAACCTTCCCAACAAACCAGGTGGAGATAAAACCTTCCCATCAAACTATGTGGAGATAAAACCTTTTATTCAAGCCATGTGGAGATAAAACCTTCCCATCAAACCATGTGGAAATAAAACATTCCCATGAAACCATGTGAAGATAAATTAGACACTTCCCACCAAAACTTCCCATTGAACAAGGGGAAGAAGAAAAAAACATTACCACCATACCAGGTGTAGAAAAACCTTCTAATTAAACCAGGCAGAGATAATCCTTCCAATAAAACCAGGTTGTGATAATCTTTCCAATCAAACCAGGTGACATAAACCTGCCAATCAAACCATTTAGAGATAAACCTTCAAATTGAACTAAGTAGAGATAAACCTTCCCATCAAACCAGGGAGAGATGAAACCTTCCCATAAAACTAGATTGAGATTATACCTCTGTCAGGCACAACTAATGGAAATAATTGGAATTTTTTCCAATGGAAAATTTTCTGTTATATATCTATTTAATCAGCACCATTGTTATGCACTTGATTAAAGGACAAAAGGGTATTCCGACTGACTGAATAGTCCCTTTAATGATTTGTTTGTTTAAAGGCCGAGTCCTCCACTGCTCTGGCACCTGCGAATGGTCTCTATTGTGACATGGAGTCTTTTGGGTAGGATTATTGTTCTTATAGAGCTACAAATATAAAAGAAGGGAACACTCGATAGAAATTCTAATAATAATAATCATTATTCAACTATAAAACTATATAGAAATAGTTATTTCAGAGGTGTAAGCATTTTTAGTCTCTGAGCTGTAAAGTAAACACAAGACAAATGTCACAGTCTGACATAGGATCCATCTTTCGCATAAAAAATCAATGAAATTTTCTGGTCATAGGTAGTGCTGGGCACTTTCCAACTTTTTTCAGCCGTTTCGTTAACATTTAGTTAAAAAAGTATAGTTAGTTAATGAAATCAATTTTATTAACAACGTAAACGTAAAATTTTCAAGACAACTGTTAATGGCTCCAGTCCTTAATGGTCAAGTACATTATTAACGGCTTGAAGCGCCAAAAAAAAATCGTTAACGGTTCAAAAATCGTTAATAGTGCAGCCATTTACGGTCTATTTCAGAATTAACGGACCACAGCGCCAAAAAAAATGTTAATGGTTGTAAAACCGTTAACCATGCAGCCATTAACAATCTTTTGTAGTATTAACGGCGTTAACGGTTTGTCAAATCATTAACGACATTAACTGAACAAACTCAATTTTTTTTATCAAAATTTAAACTTCAAATTCAGAAGACGGTTTAAAAATTAATGGTTTTTGCCGTTAGTCAACGGACTCTTCCGTTAAATTTCGAAAACCTCCGTTCCGTTAACGGAACTTTGCGCAATGCCCAGCCCTATTCATAAGAAACCATTATGTGAATCATCCAAATTTTCGAAATCAATAGATTTTATCCTCCTTAGAAACTAGAGTACCCACCAGACAAAGAATACCCTCGATTTACAAGCTAGAGATAGGCGCATTCAAGCTAGAGATAGGCGCGTTCAAGCTAGAGATAGGCACGTTCAAGCTATAGAAAGGCGCGTTCGGTTTTTTCATTTTGTTTGTTCATCGTATAATTTCATTTCGTTCTTTTTTTCCCAACCATTAAAAAAATAGTTGATTTCATTTGGTTTAACAATGATCGTTCATTTTCCATCTATTTCGTTCGTTTTCTCACTGAACGATCGTTCAGAAAAATCGTTCGTTCAAAAAAAAGATAGTTTTTCGAAAAAATCGTTTGGAATATAAAAAATATTGTTTTTTAAAAAGTGTGTTTAAAAAATTCGTTTTCGTTCGCTTTTAAAAAGGATAATTTTTCATTTCTCTAAACGATCAATTTCGTTCGTCCATCGGTGGTTTTTTTTTCTGAGCGACACCCTTTTTCAGGAAAAATTTCGTTCGTTCTCAAAATGTTTGTTTGTTCAAAAAACGATGACCATCTTGATAATTACAACGAAACCTTTTAAACCTTTAACTGATCATCAAGGGCAGAAAAGTTCATGTGTTTATTTCTAACATGGTGTCAAAGTTGTCGGAAATTGAAGTGTACGCTAGCGTACAGTGTAAACTCACCCCATTTGATGTTTCATTCATCGAAAATCCCAAATATTCAATAACGCAGTTTTGAAAAATTCTAATTTGAAAAATTGTCTGCGACTTTTAAAAAATAAATATGAATTTTTCTTAATAATAAAAGCTCTGACAAAGTGTTCAATAATTACAAATGTCTCTGTAGAAATAACAATAAATTGTCAGCCTTGTTCAGTCAATAGTAAAAGGGGTACTTTTATAAATCGGACACGCCACTTTACAAAAATTTACCCCTATGATCCTTCAGATATCTTATTTCAGGAGGTTAATGGCAGTTCATTTAGAAAGGCCAGATGATTTTCTACCACAGGATGCTTGGGACATAATTCAAAATCCATAGTAAATATCTAAGTTTTTATTGTAAGATTTTGTTCATATTTTTTGGCAACTCACATGACCCCAGGAAAGAGGGTTGATGAAAATTCAAAAATTTTGCCTCAAAAATATTTCAATATTTTTTATTTTTGAAAATTAACCATTTTAAAGAGAAAAATCTGCAAAAACCTTTATTTAGTAAAGAACGATGAAATTGAAACGGGGCGCAATGCACCGCAAAAGATCGGAGAATTTGAACAATTTAAATTTGTTTGATTCGCTATTAAAAAAATGCAAAAACTGCTGAATTTTATACATGTTTCCAGTTTATAAAATGATAATTGCAGGAGAGTGGGGTGAAGCGCCGTGGAAGTCCGTAGTTGGAAACATTTTAGATATTTAATCTTGGTGATTTTAAAAATTTAAACCAATATTAAATTAAGAAAGTGTTCATTGAGTCCTGAAAGGGTTTAAATGGTTTTCCAACTCATTTAACATTTTAAAGATTGGAATTGAATTTTTCCCTTTCCGTCCTGGTTCGTAGTTTTTGTAATACAAAAATTTAAAAGTTAATACCATATTTTAAATGAGTGGGTTTTAGACTTTTAAAAGAACATTAATCCAATTATGTATTAATTTATGTTTAATTAATTTCATTATTGGCAGTGTATTGCAGTTGAACTGAGAATGTGGTATTGTGGAGAAATTTTTTAGGATTCATGTGAGACATATCATACGTTTTTAATGTGGCATATTTGTTCAACAAGAACTCAAATTCAATTCTTAAAATTCTCAAAGATTTGCCATTTTAGAAAGATGATTTTTAGAATAATTTTTTTAAATTACCAAATAACGACGACAAAAAATGTAACAAAAATACTACAGTAAACTCTTTATTGGTTTCTGCTATATCCTATTGTTCTCTAAAATTTTGTGTAGATTTCTTGGAATTTTTTATGAAAAGACGACTTTTAAAGAAATTGAAGAAATTTGCGAACAAATTTGTAAAGAATAAGAAATTCAATATAACGACGAAAAAGAAATAATTGATTATAACATTGATTTATTGACAAATTTCTACTGAGAAATATGTTCCTAAACATCAAATTAGTTTACTGTAGAATTTTTGATACATTTAATGTAGTCTTTATCTAGTAATTTTTAATATTTAATTCACATAACGTAACCCCCCAAATGGATAAATGTCGACTTTGCAACCAAACTCGGTAATTATACATCATTAAAACGTCTTATATGTCTCAAATGAATCCAAAAAATTTCTCAACAATACTACACTCTCAGTTCGACTACCATACATTGCTGATCACTACCTTTAATTGAATTTCAATTCCATGCAGTTCCATTTATTTTTTTACATTTAGCTATTCAACTGCTGGATTTGGAATGGACTTCATTGATCTTGGAGATGACGGTATTATGGGTTATTCCTTTGGCTATGGAAATGCGCAGGTATTCTTACTATCTACTTAATTGTAAGTAACCCGCGATATTCTGTATACATCTTTATATAAGCAACAAGTTCTTATTAATCTTTTATTTTTTTTTAGAGCTCAGGCCAGAGTCATTCAGCGTTCTACATCTTCTTTAAATATGGATTTGCAACATACACCAGAGCCAATGCTTTGATAATTGTAAGTTGAATCATTTTTTAGGAAAACAATTTAGAATTTAGTGTAAAATAATTGAACATTTCAAAAATTAATGAATTGAATGACAAAAAGGCAATATAAAAACCCAGCAAAAGCGTTTTTGGTCACAAAGAAAATAAAAAAAAATAAACCAGATTAAATAAGTATGCATATTGCTCTTCTCATAATTATAATCATACCTATTCCAATAAAAATAGTTGAATTTTATAATAAAAAGACATAAAAATATATGTATTGTTCGTGTAGATACAAGATATAGGTAGGGCTGGGCATAAGTTCCGTTAACGAAAAGGAGGAAGAGTCCATTAACAAACGGCAAAAACCTTTAATTTTTAAATCAATAACGAAACGGATTAGTCGTTTTTTAAACAAACGTTATTGGTTGAAAGTTAATTAAAAAGCTAACAACGTTATATAGTTATTTTCTGATTAAGAATTTAAAAAAAAAAATTTAAAATGTTGTCTTCTGTGTTTATATACCGTTTGCGCCATTAATACTGTAGTATACCGTTAACGGCACAGGCCGTTAAAGATTTTTTAAACCGTTAACACTGTTAGTACTGTAATATACCGTTAACAGATGCGCCGTTGACGATTTTTTTACCATTAACGGTTGTGCCTTTAACAATTTATTTAACCGTTAACGAAATTTTTTGGCGCTTTGCTCCAATCACGCCATTAATTTTGTAATAACGGTACCATTAACGGTTAGAGCCATTAACGATTGTTGAAAATATTCCCTTAACGCCGTTAATAAAATTGAGATAGTTTACTAACGGTAGTTTTAAAAAACCGGAAAATGCTGTTAACAGAACGAACGCTCCTTTAAAATTAACGGTTAACTGAATTTTTTATTTTTTAACGATTGGAACTAACCGTTAACGAAACGGCTAAAAAATTTGGAATGTGCCCAGCCCTAGATATAGGACATTTTCTAAAATATTATAAAATTTCTGTTTTTAAAACACTTTATTTGGTTCTAAAATAATATATTGAATATAATAATAATATGTGGAAGAATTTCACAACGTAGAGTTTAAAGAATCTCAATGACTACCACCACAAGAAACAAACGCCCCTGCAGACAAAAAGATAAAATACTATGCATTACAATCTGCATAGAGATAAGCATTGGATTTTGATCCGTTTTTCAAATATAAGGTGGGTTGGCTTAAAGGGCTATCTAAAAGAATCTGAGATATTATCTTCATAGCAAAATAATATTTTCTATAATTTTGCTTCATTATATTAAGCAACAAGTTTTCTCTGACCACAGATGTCAACCAAAATGATATTTCCTATATTTTAGATATCATGAATACCATTAGGTTAAACATATAAGATTTGGGTCAAGCCTATTTAAAATCGAATAACCTTTTATGTTTAAAAAAGTGGGTCTGAAAATGATGTCCATTAGTATTTATTCATATTTTTCCCTTTAGCCTGGTATGCGAGCTAATACCGGACTAACCATGCTAAATGACGCTTTAGCAGGTAAAATTCTTTTTTTTTACAGGGTGGGTAAACAAATACAGAAAACTTTACAGGGTGGGTAAACAAATACAGAAAACTTTACAGGGTGGATTAACAAATACAGAAAACTTTACAGGGTGGATTAACAAATACAGAAAACTTGACTCACACAAAATTGCATACTTTACAGGAACATTGGCTAGAAATACTACTTGATTCACATTTTATTTAATACCATAACCGTTTCAAATGATTGAAAAATTTTTATTAATCAGACATAGATTGAGACATATTTCCCTAAAATAAATTTTTTCCTAAAAAATATCAATGTGCATAATTTTGTTTTTTTTTCAACCAAACTTTATGATCGATATTATGTACATGAACTATTTGAACCATATCATCCTTTTAAGAAATTTTGTATAATTTTTAAATTTTCAGCTGCAGCATCTGGTGGTTTGGTGACTAAACTTGATTTGAACTTTTTGTAATTTTAGAATTTTATACGTTCAGTTAATCATCAAAATAAATCTTAAAAAACATCTTGTTTTGTACTTCTTTTTTATCTCTTTATCTATTTATCTATTTATCTTTTTACCTATTTATCTATTTATTTATTTGTCTATTTATCTATTTACATCTTTAACTATTTATCTATGTATCTATTTATTTATTTATCTTTTTTAATAATTGTCTATTTATCTGTTTATTTATTCATCTTTTATCTCTTCACCTATTTATCTTTTTATCTATTTAACTATTTGTCTATTTATCTAATTATCTATTTATCTATTTATCTATTTATCTATTATCTATTTATCTATTTATCTATTTTCCTATTATCTTTTTATCTATTTTCCTATTTATCACTTTATCTATTTAACTATTTGTCTATTTATCTATTTATCAATTTATCTATATAGTCTATTTATATATTTTTTTATTTTTCTATTTATCTAATTGTCTTTTTATCTATTTATCTATTTATCTATTTATCTATTTTTATCTATTTATGTTTCTTTATCCAACTCTGAATTAAATAAGATCAACATATTTAAATGGGATACGATATCCTTTAAATTAGTTCGTTGTAAGACTGAGTAAAATAATGTGAAAATTCGCTGTAAAACTTATTTTTAGTTTTATAACCTCGATGTAAAGTCTATCCCACAGTGCATTTTAAACAATGATTGTAATACACATCTTGGTAAAGGGTGTCTTGAAGAAGAAAAATAAAAAATCTGACCTTTTTTTAATTTTACAAAGACAACTTCTAACGTTGTCTCGTAAAATATTGAATTTTTGAAAATCCATTATCTAGAATCCCGCTGTGTACTGCAAGCAAGTTTATTCCGCAAAAATATTCTGAGTTTCCCATAGTGGTATATAAAACGTAGATAGATCGATAGATAAGCTTGAAGGCAGACAATTTCATGCCTTGGCAAGTTAATCGTTCCATACTGCAGTTTTCGCCAGCTGAATACTAATATGCTTATTTCAGCTTATCTCATAAATGTCCGGGGTTTTAACTTTTTTCCCGGGAAAAATTGATTCTTCTATAAAGCTTTCGAAATCATTTGTGAACAAAATGTTGGGATATCTAATTTTATTTTTGTTGCAATTTAGAACAAAATATTCATAATTTACCAATGTTTTTGTCAAGATCGATATCAGGAACAAAATCGTTTTTTAAAGAGTGCTCGTCTCCTAAAACACTTTTATGTTGTTATTTGTAGTTGTTATAAATATTTTTTTTTATAACAATTCTTAGTGACAGCTACAATTTACAAATTTTGAAAACTTTTTCCTGTTTTAAGGTCACTTCTGTACAGAATATAAACATTTTGTTTAATTACACGACTGAGAGATATCAAAAATATTGGATTACCTATCTGTAAAACGTCCTGTCTATGAAATGCCTGTCTATGAAATGTCCTGTCTATGAAATGTCCTGTCTATGAAATGTCCTGTCTATGAAATGTCCTTTCTATGAAATGTCCTGTCTATGAAATGATGTCCAATCTATAGAATGTCCTTTCTATGAAATGTCCTGTCTATGAAATGTCCAATCTATAGAATGTCCTTTCTATGAAATGTCCTCTCCATGACTTTGTTATCCATGGAAATGAACACCAATAAAATGTTTACTATGAAATGTCCCAACACCTTAGATTATTGTGCAGCATTTACGTGTTATAAATATTAAAACCATGGTACAGAATTTGTATAAATATTGAACCACTGTGCATAATTTTTATAAATATTTAATCACTGTGCAGAATTTGTATAAATATTAAATCAGTGTGCAGAATTTGTGTAAATGTTAAGCTGGTGTGCAGAATTTGTATAAATATTGAACCATTGTGCAGAATTTGTATTAATACTGAACCATTGTGCAGAATTTGTATTAATATTGAACCACTGTGCAGAATTTGTATAAATATTGAACCATTGTGCAGAATTTGTATTAATATTGAACCATTGTGCAGAATTTGTATAAATATTGAACTACTGTGCAGAATTTGTATAAATATTAAATCAAAGTGCAGAATTCGTATTAATTTGAATCACTCAGCAGAATTTGTATAAATATTGAACCGTTGTGCAGAATTTGTATAATTATTAAATAAAAGTGCAGAATTTGTATTAATATTGAACCACTGTGCAGAATTTGTATAAATATTGAACCACTGTGCAGAATTTGTATAAATATTAAATCAAAGTGCAGAATTCGTATTAATTTGAATCACTCAGCAGAANGGTCGGAGACAGTTGACCCAATATTCCTCCCCATACCCTCCCCCCCACATTTGCAGTTTCCTAAAAGCCCACCTGTCCCCTAAATATCCTTGTGACAAGATGGTCCCTAAAAGTAAATTAATTGAACCCAATCAAAAATTCACGGTTATCTATTTAATTTGTAATTTACAAATTTTTCAGATTTTGTATCATTTATCTAAACCTGCAATACACATGTCACGCTTTAGTGCGTCTTCAAAAAGTGTGTGCTAAAGTGCGTCTCTTTAGGTTTTTCCATAGTGCGTCCACTTTTTTTCCGTAGTGGTGCACACACATGTTGTAAAAGGTAAAAATTTGAGAAATCAATTTTTGTCGAAAACGTCAATGACCAAATGTAGAAAATTTGGTTTGGCATTATCTTTTAACTTTGAAATAAAGAAAAGGTTTGCCTCCAAAAAAAATTTGCATTAATTAGAAAGAAGCACATTATTGACTGGGGGTTTTCACCTAAATCGACTTTTTCTCTCTTTAAACTTTATTTTAACCAAAAATATTTTGATGCATGAAACTTTTATTCTGATATTAAACTTTCTTTTTTTTTAAATCAGGAAACATAAATAAATAATTTCCACAACTTCTTGATTTCATCCGTGTTCTTCAACAGATACAGGGTTACCCACAAAGGATGAGAATTCAGAGACGATTGTAACAGAATTTGTTTGGTCCGATCATTTGCATTTAGGGTTCGTTGTAGTGCCAAACTGGATTGTTTCTGTGCTTCATCCTTTAGTAGTTCATCAAAATACTCAACTGAATGCAGAAATAAAATACCGAGCTTCAAATCTTCATATTTTTAGAATAATGGGCCGTCTTTACAGTCTCATCCTTTGTGCTTTACCTTGATTAAATGATAAACCAGGTTTACCTTGATTAAATGATAAACCAGGTTTACCTTGATTAAATGATAAACCAGGTTTACCTTGATTAAATGATAAACCAGGTTTACCTTGATTAAATGATAAACCAGGTTTACCTTGATTAAATGATAAACCAGGTTTAATTAAACAAACAGGTCGGAGTATGGTTTATTGTAAAATAACATTAACCATTGTTAAACATTCTTAAGCATCGTTAATTGTCGTTAAATATCGTTAACCGTCGTTTCAAATAGTTTTTTAATCGCATACACTCGTGAGCCAACATTAACCGTCGTTAACCATCGTTGATAATCGTCAATTATTGTTAATATTGTTAACTACCTTCAAACAAGCTTAAACATCGTTGTTTATCGATAACCTTCGTGAACGATCAACCGATGCCTAAGCTTTTGGCAACAATTTAATTTAAATTAAAATTAATTAATTTAAAATAAAAATGAAATAAATGGGGGGGGGCTATAAGGTTTACATCTGCATTGAAAAAGATCAAATAAACAATATTTTGAATCTTTCTGGAAGAAAATTTCCCCCCCCACACTTTTATCTTATTTTTTTTTGGTATATAATGACGATTTTTTTCTTGTTTTGTGAATAAGCAAGGCCAATGAAAAAATATTGCAGAATCCATGCAAAAATATTGAATATTAAAAATGTTATAAGAATAATCATAAGAATAAAATCTAAATGTTCCTGAACTCGTGACTTCTTATTGCCGCCCTTGCCGAAGAAAAAGGGAATAATTGTTCAAATTTAAAATACCCATAGAATTGTTTTAAAATGCATTATAAAGCCGTTCTTGCAATCTAGCTAAGTTTGTTCTTTGAATTAATATAAAAGAAAATTTAAAAGGATTTTTAGAAGCGGCTATTTGGAAAAAATCGACCTAAGAAAAAAAGGAAGATTGAACCCAGACTGAAATAAAACATATTTTCTTTTTTTTCTTTCAAATTTGTATTCAGATTATCATCTTCAATGAAATAAACTCTCAAATAGACAAGCCAACCATACTATATATCTAGTGAAAACCATAAAATTGAGGAAAAAGAAAATTTTAAATGTGTACACAGTACACTCTCAGTACAGCTGTATTCTTACGTCACAATTGTGTCCGATAAAATTATTAATAAAAATGATAAAAGTGCTTATCTTACAGTAAAATAAGCACAATTTTGTTTTCTTTATTTTCTGTTTTTACACTTTTTTTATTTAATTTTGGAAAACATGCCAACCAATGGGAAAAAATGTTGTCTTCCTTGTTATATTTGACACTTGTGACGTCATGTATAATTGTCCCATTTCTCTAATGCCACCTATTGTACTTGCTAATCTAATTGGGATATTAAAACAATATTTAAAAATATTGCAATAATACATTTTTTCTTGCAATTTCGAATTAATATGACGAACAATTTTGATGGTTTTCTTAAAGAGACATTTGTTGCCATTTTCAGTGACCCTTCGTCTAACGAGTGTGATTGCAAATTCGCAACCAAACCCTTTTTAGTATCTTTATCTGATCAGTAATATATGGAAGAAATCATCATTTTATAGCTCCCTAAGCACAAAATTCGAAAATTTCTTTTTTGACAGAGAAACCACACTTGAAAATAGTCAGTTTTTTAAAAAAAAGAATGGATATTTTTTGATGAGACAAATATTTAAAGGGTACCAATGTGAAATGATCATGCCATTCTTTAAATGAACGCGTGTTCCTTGAAATTCCTTGCAGTAGACAGGTGGGGTGCAGAGCTTTCTGAATTTCTATTTATATATATATATTTGAGTTGCACAAAGCTGATGCAAGGTTTCATAAAGATATACTCCGATAAAAGTTTTATGTCAAAAACTTAAATTGCATTTGACTTTA